TATTATCGTTGTGTCCATTTTATGATGAGGAAGGATTGATGAGATTACGCACCAAGGTTTCGGATAGAAATGATGTAGTCGATTTTTGTATGCCGTATGTTTTACCATCAAACCACGAAGTAGTAAGACGTTTGATTCACGAAGAACATGTTAAGAATAGCCACGTTGGAGTCCAGTCATTGATGCGAATTCTGAGAGAAAACTATTGGATTCTCAAATGTAGACGTACCGTCAAATCAGTAGTAAGCAGATGTACTACTTGCAAGAAATTTAGAGGTAAAGTACTGGACACACCTGCCATAAGTTTACCAGAAGCCAGGGTCCGTGATGCAGCAGTTTTTGAAGTCGTTGGTATAGATTTGGCGGGTCCATTATACTTGAAAACCAACGAGAAAGTTTGGATAGTACTTTACACCTGTGCTGTGTACAGAGCAGTCCACCTTGAATTGTCATCCTCTTTGTCTAGCAATGCATTCTTACAGACACTAAGAAGATTCATTGCTCGAAGGGGAAGGCCATCAGTGATATACACAGATTGTGGTACGAATTTTACTGGATCAGATAATGCTCTTCGGAATTTGAACTGGACAGAAGTTACCAAAAATTGTTCCACAATACACCAAATTGACTGGCGATTCAACCCGCCAACAGCAGCATGGTGGGGCGGTTGGTGGGAGCGCCTTATAAGACTCATGAAGGATATACTGCGTAAAATTCTTGGAAGAACTTGTCTCAACTTTGAAGAACTACAGACAGCACTTTGTGACTGTGAAGCAGTATTGAATGCTAGACCACTGACGTACATGTCTGAAGACCCAAATGATTGCATAGTTCTTACACCTGCTATGTTCCTGCAAGATATAAAAGAAGTCGGAGTAGCAGACATTGATTTAGTTGAAGCCAAAAATTTGACCAAACATTACAGATATCGTTTGAAGTTGAAACAAGATTTGAACAAACGATTCAAGTCAGAATATTTGGGACAACTGACACTATTTGCCAAGAAGAAGTATAATGGATCTGTAAAAGTAGGAGACATTGTTCTCATAGCGGATTTTGATAAGAAAAAATTGGAATGGCCTATGGGACGAGTTCTCGAAACAATACCTGGACGTGACAGAGAAATAAGACTTGTGAGGTTGAAGACTGCGTCTGGTGAACTGTTACGACCAGTTCAGCGATTGGTGATGCTCGAGATGGAAGGTTCACATGATTTGTCTGAGGAAGCTGTGAAAAAGGGAAGAAGAGACTGTTCTCAAGATTCTGCCGAGATCGCTGATCCCACAGTTTATACAAGATACGGTAGAAGAGTGAAAGTTCCATCAAGATACCAAAATTAGTTGTTGTGTCATTATCTTTGAATCTAAATGACACAAGGTGGGAGTATGTTACAAATCACTCTGTATTTACGGAATGATGGCAGAGAGATGATATATGTCATAGTTTTTTGTTACATGTTGTCAGAAATAAAAGTGGTATTTCGGCTAGTAATTTCGTATATCTATACTAAATAGTTTGACCTAGAGAAGATACTGTAAGAAATCAAATAGTTTCTAACAAGTTGAACTGTTTAGCTCATATTTCCTTGTAGGAGATGAAAGAGATTCAGATATTGTATATGAACTTGAAAATGAAGGTTTCATACAACAAGGTTTGATCACACTCTTCTCCCTCAACTTGATATGATTCATTGGTTGGGTACATCATGAAAAGTTTTATTTTCCATATTTACACCTCTACTTCTGAATGGCCCTTTTATATTAGTCTGAATAACTATTTCTTCCTCAACCTCAATGATGTCAGGAACTGATATAGATGTATTTGCTACATTTTTGGATGATGAGGGTTCTGCACTTAGTTCTGCATAATCTGATAGCTGTATTTTTCGTTTCTTCCAAACATTTTCCAGCAACTCTGCTTTCCTTTTGTTTCCCTTATCAGTCAGTACACTTCTTTTGTATGTCGTATGTGGGTGGCGGTACATTCAAGAACTTGTGTGGCACTGCATGAGGTTTCAGCTTGAGTGTTGTTCCAATGATTTTGGAAAACATGCAATTAACTGAATTGTCTGCAAGCTGGAATATCGGAAAGTGACAAGGATATCACATTTCACAATGGGAACCCACATTGAAATGATCCTCACAGCTCACAGCAGTAGAGAGGTCATGTCCTGAAATAAATTCCAGATGCACTGCCAGTTTTTCCTGCGTTGGGTACTAGCCGGGACGGTCGAAAACAGTTTTTCAGGCGAATTTTCACTACTATTTTGACAAATCGGTATAAAATATACGACTACCATAGGTTAGGTTATACGCAATCTTCTTCTCCAATTTTAGTATCATTACCAAAATATTCATCTCACATATTTTGATAAATGACAATCAGAAATATGTTTGCACTTGTCTAAGAGAGAGAGAATGGATATGTATGTCGAATCTTACATGAATTGTTCACCGGCTGCCTACGTCACGCGCTTTCCCGCGTTTTTCATGTTACGAAATATCGTGAATTTCAATAATTATTTAAAAAATGTACAGAGCTCTGGGGAAAAAACGGTTTGCGACAGTGAACTAGTTAGGGTTAGTACTTCGAAATAATGAAATGAAATTTTTCACTGAAACAGGCCCATTCCACTGAAATGTTGATGGAAATCCAATAAACATATTAAACTGTCATAGTAGAGTTCATACAAGGCAAAAAGTGCTCTCAGAACAGTTTCCGTGTTCAACGCTGTATTGATAAAGACTGGAACTATCTTAAACTCTCACCTGCCATACCGGGATATGATTCACCCTATTTTTTTGTTCAGGTGAACAACTAGGAACTAGTAGCGTGGTTTGTTATGGCGCAGGGTGTGAAAAGGCGGGAAATGAGAGTTTTCCAAGTGCTAGAAAGCCTGTGGCCGTCGTCGCGAGTATTGAGGCAATCAGGTCGCTGAGTCTCTATCTCAAGGCCCTCAAGGGATTATCCTTGTATGCAGAGTTCTTTCGGTGGCGATAGTTTTTGCGTTTTCGATATCAAGTGACCCAGCAAACATTCATTTGCGGTAGACTGACCCAATACATTGCTCCCATAACTAGATGTTGCGGCAAAATGACTAGCGTTGGTACGGGGCCATCAAGAAAAGGACACTCTGGCCGACGGTTTCCCGACGGTCAATCAGCCGGCATTCATTCCATTGATGGGCCTTCAAATCCCCATACTGGCATAGGAACGAAGTATAAAAAATATCTCGACTTTGGATGATAAGATTGTGATCTGATAAGATCTTCATTTTGGAGGTTGACCTCATATATTTTCGTGACTTGGTAGCCCTGATGGTCCATTCTCCAGGTGTCCTATCCATTCAGTCGTATTTTTGCAACGGCTATATCGTTGGAATATCTCTATGAGAACATGACTAGCTACTCGTATTAGTATCTAAACTCATGTAGTGAGTATCGGTGAGATGTAAACGAATCGAAACGGATAAGAGAATATTTGAAACTGATATATTCTGTTGATAATATTTCAACTAATACTTTGATATTCTGAGAGAAATGATCCATATGATATCATTCCATTCGGATAATCTTGGATCACTCTAGGAAAATATACAGTATGTCTGAAAAACGTGACAATAAATTGAAAACTTTTTCATTATGAATTCTAGGAAAAAAAGTCATTTGACATAAAGACTTCTGCAAGGTCTAAAAACAAAAATGCAAATATCAGATATCGATTTTTGTCAGTCGTATACGAGGTATGTCAAAAAAGTAGATTTTGTTCAAGTGTAAATAATGTACCGTTTTTATTTTCGATATTATCGAAATTTATTATCATATAAAAAAGTTGAATAGAATTGAAAACTACGGAAAACTACGTTCAAATATCTGATAACATCTATTCACGATGAGAATCATGTACTATTATTTCTTACAATATTTTCTGATCTATTCATATGGCAAACTATTTTATTATTAATTTTGCGGAAAGAAGCATTTTTCATTAAACGTTCTTCAAAGTAGCAAATCAATAATGCAGATATCATACCTATACTCAACAATGTTTTGAGTCATATGTCAAAAAATCCCAAATTTTTGTAGATCATACTCACGACTTTATTGAAATGATCTTATGATCCTATAATAATGCCATATTATGATTATCCTCAAATATGAAAAAATTCAGGTTTTTGAGGAATATGAATTCTTTCATCGTTTTTTTCTTTCGTATGATTGGAAGAATAGACAATCACCATACTGTGTTATCTGCAGCAAATAGGTTGAATGCCCAGCATTGGCCTTTTCAAAGATTGAGTAAACGAAGTTGTTTTATTTCCCGGCAACATCAAAGTCAATAAAACGATGAAGGGCCAATACTTATTCCCTTCACTGGCAAAGTGACTACAAGAATGTGAAAGGCCAACAGATTTTTGCCGCTGAAGTCATTCCCCCAGCAAAGAAAGCATTGGGCCAATAACTTCCCGGTAGTTCATTGTTTGGTGGGGAGTGGCCTGTTTTTTCGTAATGTTTGGAGAGTGCCGAGGAAGGGTCTGATTTTCGAACTGCAATAAGTTGATGTTCCTAAACTCTGCTGGTAACGCATCTATTTGTTTGGCCAATATATGTTCTTGGGCAACCTGAACAAGGTAGTTGCCCTGAGAATCATTTGATATTGTGTCCTTGGGGGTTCTGAGGAATTTTGAAACGTGGTTGTTGGCCGTGAAAATAGTTTTGATATCATTTTTCTCAGTATTCTACTGATTTTGTCAGAGGATTTAATTTTTCCATCACGCCGAATAACAGAGAACGTGGCTGAACAAACAAAACAAAATGTCGCTACCACACTTATCGTGGAGCGAAACTTCCACCATCCAATATCACACCTACTGAGACAAGATGTCTCAAAAACCTCCATCATAACCCAAATATAATCATCCTCCCAGCTGATAAAGTCAACGCGCCACGGTAGTATTGAATACCTCAGAATATGACTAGAAGATGAGAAAACACTCTTAGTTTCCCGCCTCCCTATACAGAACCACTCCAAGAGACCCGAAAACTTACCTCGAGAAGAAGACCAAAACTCTCATCAATAGTTCCAATCTATCGGCGGAATCAAAGAAAATTACAAAACCCTAGAGAAAAATCATCACACGCAAAATACATAAACCCGATATCCCACTGCGCCCCATCGTCAGTGCCTTTGGATCACAATCAAAGAAATTGATGGGTTAAATCAACCAAAAAGAGCATATGAAAATGAGCCTATCTGGTTTAATAATTATATCAACCAGCGAACAATAGTTCGTAGAAAATTTGTTAGTTTCACATTTTAGTCTCACAACAAAATGAGTGGTATGTTGACCATCATTTTTGTCCCTTCAATTATATTTTGTATAGATAACTATAATATTTTATTCACCAACAAAGTGTATAGTAGAAATAGGTATACTGACTATTTTTCAGGTTTTTGTACCATTGAATTAATACAGATTTCGAATGAACATCAAGTTTATTCATTACATCAAATTTTCGACATGATAAGTTTGTAACGAAAAGTAGAATAAACATTTTCCTAGTGTGTCTACTTCTTCAACACAAGTAACATTGTGGAAAACTTCATTCCTCTTCATGTAAGTTGGAGAAGTACAATCCAACCTAAAAAACATACCAACATCATATTATTTACCAAAAAATTGTTTCATCTTTACCAAAACAAAACTATTATCTAAGTGTTAAATTATGTACAGTATAATTATCTTCATTTGTAATACAGTAATTGAATAATCGACTTACCTGAATCACTTCAATGCAGAATAGTTGTAATGTAAATAAAATGATAATATCAAAATAGTATTAAGCTACAACACAAAGAACCAAATAAGACGCCAGCAAAAAAATCTCATGTGGATACTGTCGCCCTGCAAATAACAATGGGAAGAACACAAGCCTTCAAAGAAGGTTGGTAGGTTTTAACCTATACTGTTCGTTTGTCTACCAACTATGATAGTGAATGAGCTGTGATAATATATTAGTTATAATAGTGTGATTTGAAATAGTAGTATATAGGTTGATTTTACCTTCTTTTTGTTTGATTGCCAGCTACAACAGTGAGCGAGCTGTAATAATAATATTTTAGTTACAATATGATATAAATTATAGATATTTTCATGGACGATGCTCTTCTGAAATATCAACAATTGTTCCTCCCTTGGCAGTCCCCGCGAGATTAAACCCGTCGAGTTGAGGCTTCGCACCCCTTCGTCGTCACTTTGGAGACCTGAACATCTCTTTCCAAAGACTCGCTCATCCAACGATCAGCGAGGCTCTGGAACACATTGCCAATGGAGGTGTTCCCCGAGGCATATAGCCTCCAGAAGTTTAAGAAGTACACCAATTCCTACCTTATTTTCCTTGGTTCTCACGATGTTCTCTGAACATTACAGGATATCCCTTCTCAAAATTTGAAGATTATATTCTCAAAACTTTTATTGAAAACAAATCTAATTCAATGTGGCACCAATACGCCGTCGTACTTGTTCATAGAAAATCCATGAGAGGAGATGATATCGTCATATTTTTTAATGGCCAAATATCAACAACCATTTATACGACAAACAAAAAACAGAAAAGGTGTGAGTAGGTTTTTTTTATAGTCATAAAATTCTGATAATTGAGTTCCTTATCCCATTTTGAAGAGAACAAGAATTCGTACAGCGACAGCTATTAGAATAAGATGTAAGAAAACCTTTGTCAAGTTTGGGCAACATCTCACACTAGTCACACTACACCCTACACACGTTTTCTACCGAGACAATACGGCTAAATATCAGAAAGTCTAGATATTTAGCCGTCATTGACCGAGGAGATCGGTGTACACTGTACACTAGTGTACAGTAATCTCTGTTCCCGAGTACCTCAAGTACCTATATTCGAACACAGCCTAGGTGAATGTTGATTTTTTGTTGAATGTAATTTTTTTAAGATGTGTCATGAAGTTGTCATGTGTTTATTTACATTACATTTTCTATTTCATTCTAACAGATGTTAGATATGTATCTTACCTCTTTCAAAGAGGAATTTCTGCTGAGAAGAAAGGAAAAATGAGTAATAATTACCTTTAATTAAGGTAATAATGGGAAACGACCGGTGACCTGGTTCTGACATTGAACAAGAACAATCTCTTCATTTCAAAAATATCCCAATATCAAACAGTAGTGCCTGATGATGGAAAATTTTCCAAGAACAGGAAGAGTCAACGAAGTTTGTCAGGAATGGATGGTACGTGAAGACGGTGCCCTGGCGCATCGTTTACAGAATCAAGAGTTTGATGATCATTTATCAGGTAACAAACATCGAAATGCCTTGGTTCGAGAAGACTTCCCCAAAGCAAAAGATGAACAAATCCGAGAACAAAGAATGGCCGAACAGGCTGCTGCTATTTATCAAAAGATGTTAGCTGAGCAAGAAGAAATTGACAACAGGGTGGCCAAAGACCTAGCCGATAAAATTGAACGTGAAGAAAGAATGAAACGCAGAGCAGCAGAACTGAATGACCAAGAAATTGCTAGACAGCTGTTGGAGAAAGAACGCCTGAGAGTTGAGAGACTTCATCAAATGCCTCCAGCTGGTCCACCATACTCACCCCAGAAACCCATGCATCTGCCACCAAAGATGGAAACACAGATCTCCCCTCACAGGCCTAACCCCCAAAATTACCAAGCTAATTTACCACGAAGGCAAGCTTTACCCATGCCATTACCAAATCAAGTCCAGATGTATAATAATAATCATCCACCAATTTCACATAATCATTTTGATGTAAGCAGTGCTGAATTGTACAATGAACCATACAATCCAGCCCAGAACTTGTCTGATCACTTGAATCTAATAGAATTAGCTGATATAGGACTACCAATAGATGAAGTAAGTGAACGTCAGATTCAAGAGGAAAAAGATGCAGAACTGGCTAGGAAATTACAGGAGCAAGAGGGCTCCCTAGAAGAAACTCTGATCAACAGAGATCGAATGCTAGCTATTGAGGCACAAGATAAAGAACTGGCCAAGATGTTGCAAGAAAGAGAAAGAGCAAAAGCAAAGAGGGCTAGAGAAAGAGCAAAACAAAAAGCTCTAGCTAAAAAGCAACAGCAAGCTGATGGTGACAGGGATGTTAACCAGCTGATGCCTGATGATTCTTATGCCTTTCCTGCAGATGTCTTATCCCATCATGGTGCTAGAGTTCCTGGGATGGTCACTGCTCATCCTGATTTGTATGCAGTGCCAAATCCTGATGAGGATGTAAATTATAGTCTTCCTGCTGATGTACTGCCCAATGGTAGGAGCTCAGGTCTGAGCCACAATTTCAAGCAGAACTATAGTCCCAGCAAATTTGACAGCTATGGTGGGGAACTCAAAGAAATCAATGGAGTGGGACTTCCTAGTCATAATCCACCCTTGGACAGGAGTGTTGTAACTAGTGTCCCAGCTAGTAGGCCTACACATCTAGATTTGAGGTAAGAAATTTATTTCAAATGTCTTAATGATTGGTTGGAAAAATATATACTTACAAATGCTTCTGATGTTGAACATAACTTGTGGGTTGCATTAATTAATTTGCAATATGATCCTCATTAGTTTTTATCTTGTTTATTGGGTGTCATACAAATATTTATGATGATGATGTCTCTTATCTACCTAGATATGAGTTTATTGGAGAGTTTATCATATTGTTTCAACATGATGTTAATGATACATACATAATGATACATGACAATAAAATAATAAAAAAAATGAAATTAATGCTCAGAATCAATGGAAAATGACAAATAGATTCGGATAGGTAAGTAGGCAACTATCATCTGGAAGTTCATTAAAATTATATGTCACCTGATCATTTGACCCAGCCTTCTTCCCAGAAATGGAAAAAAAATCGGATAACTTGTCATTTTCATTGGAAAAAAATATCTTGCTATGGATTTTTAAATACCAAAGGCATATCATTGTTTAGAATCCATGCTGTCACCTGATCTTGTTGCATCAATTTCACCCCAATTTCACCCCAAAAATCGAAAAAAAAATTGGAAATCTGTCATTTTCATTGGGGAAAAAATATCTTGCTTGACAATAATACATAATTTGGAATCATGCTTGTTCTTGTTCTTTTTTGAAAAACTATTCAAGTCAGCTGACTCAAATCTGTATTTTTATGAAACTTAAATGATTCCACTTCATTCTTTCAAAGTTTCCTTCCTCTGTAAAACTGTAGATTGTTTTTCTCCCATCAAAACAATATGAAATCAATCCCATTTGATATGTTGCTTGTAGTTGCTTGGTAACTAGGTAGTAGGTTTGTTTGTTTCCCTACCTACCACTCACATCTGTCAATTTTCTTACTTCAATTCAAATCTAAATACTCCTTTCAATTCTCTGAAATTTGACAAAGGGATCATGCAAAACAAATGCAAAAGGATAATTCCTAGTAGCAAATACGAGCGTGATGCCCCCGAAATATACAAATGGTGGTTGCAATTATTCGACATACTCGAAACAAAGGCGAGAATAAGACCCGACAAGAGACTATCTATCCTCAAAAAAGTACTACCGAAAAGGATTCTCAATCACGTTTTGGATGTGTTGAACGTCAAGAGCAGAGACGAATCCGATGGATCAGAACGCGACGAAAATGTAGCTGAGAAGGTGTTCAAGAAGGAATCCAAAGAAAAATCCGATTGCACCAACATATCCATGTTCGATTCCGACATACTGGAAAAGAGTTCCCAATCCAGCTTCAGAAGAAAGCTCGGCCTAACTCCCGAAGAAAAACCCAACCCCTACATGAACTTCTTCAAGCGCAGACCCGACAGGGCGGCCATTTGGCACGAACTGCCGCCTTTGGCTATGGAAGAGATGGGCCTGCAACAGCTGGCCGAGGTCATCACCGTGAAGATAGCGGAAGACTTCGTCAACTGGCTGACGGCCATCGGAGGCGATCAGGAGACCACCATAAACGTTCAAAGCATCATCGAGATGTTCGAGATCGGCTCGCAAATCAGCTCGGCCACGACGCTGCGCGTGCAGCTGCAAGAGATGCCTTCGGTGCCGCAAAAGGTGGCAGAGGCTAAAGGCTTCCCGCGCATGTCCACCAGGAACATGCTGCACCGCGAGATCAGGAAGGACAAGCGAGCGTCCGTGCAGCCGCCCAAGATCGTGGCGTTCGGCCGGAGGCTGCCCACGGACATGCAAAAGATCCCGCCCCAAAGGGACGTGTACGAGAAGTGGCTCGGGTGTCAGACTGTTCCAGAAGAGTTGGAGACGATGGCCGCCGTGTGGCAGGGCATCACGCACCTGAGGTCGACCAGGACCTTTTGCGAGTTCATGTACGAGGTGCACCCTGAGGTGGATCCTCCCCAGTATCTGCTCGACTGCGGGCTGATGGATGCGAGGGCGTTGCAGAGTCCCAAGTCGTTGTTGAAGGCGGCCGAGAACATTGCGGCCCATACTCGATTTGACGTTTAGATGTTATGATTAATAACTATACCTGTCCTAATAAAGGTAATATCCCTCAACTTATCCTACAACTCATTCGGGGTGGAAAGAGGGGTTTTGTCCATGAGATACAACTTGACAGAAAACCACAACTTGATCTCAGGTTTCAAGATACTGGAACTTTCATATAAAAATACTAGGTGACCCGGCAAACGTTGTTTTGCCATGCAAATTATTTCTAGAAAAAAAAATTTCCGATGAATATTAATCAATAAACTTTCAATATTTTATTTCTACTTCTTTTTAGTTTGGCTATCCATAAAATTCTTCATATAAAAATGTGTTTCATTAGTTTTTCAAACAAAGTTGAGTAAAATTTCTCTTGCTATAATTAATGTGACCTAATGGAAAATTGGTGTAGTTCCCTGATGATGGAAATATAATATTCCGAAAGCTTGGACAAAGTTCGAAGAGTACTCTTTTCACTTTGCTGCATTCCCCAATAAACCTAGTTTTATACATATACAGCGTGTCTCACTTTAAACGGCCCCTCTTTATATCTCAGTTATTAGTCATGCGATTTCAACCAAATTTGGTGTGGTATGAATAACCATCAATATGATCAGTTTTACAGAGATGCATTGCAATCTGTTTTATGATATTGAGTTCTTTATTGAAATCTTCTTCCGAAAGAGGGACATTGACTAGCCTGTGTATCATACATATTACACATACATACATACATATTATATGCTGCAATTTTATGTTGATAAGGGTGTGTTGAATAATTATGAATAGTGATATCAGTGTGGTAAGGTTTATAGAAAATTGAAAAATCATGTATACCTATCATTAATTATTTTACTTATTGTCAAATCTAAGAAATTGATTGAATTTTCTGTTTCTATTGTGAATTTTATGTTTGGATGAATAGTATTTATATATTGGTGGAAAGTGTCTAACTGTCTATTGGTTCCTTTGAAGCATACTATAACATCATCTACGTATCTATACCAATATAAACATCGTTTTATTAATGAATCTTTATGTATTATTCGCTCCAAGTTATCCATGAAAATTTCAGCAAGTAAAGGGCTCAGTGGATTTCCCATAATCAATCCTTTTGACGCGGAATATATTTTGTTGTCAAATTGAAAGTAGGTAATTCTGTTTGAGACATATCGACAGAAGGTCTACGATCTCTTGTTTGGTAATCGGATTAACATGGTTTTATCTTTATCGTTTGTAAAGTTTTTACATTTGCCATGGATTTCCATCAAGTAACGGCCGAGTCAATTAAAAAAATCTATATATTCCATCTAGAGAATACGTATTTGTTATTTCACCAACTTTTTAATTATTTTGCAATAGTGGAGATGAGTGCAATCGGACGGTAGTTGGAAGGTTAGAGTTAGACTGTGTTCGTATTTGATTGAAGATTCACGTGCTCCGTTTCAGATCTCCTCTCACCAAAATCAACAAACCCCGTTTCCCGGACCCGGAAACTTGTGACTCCCCCGGCAGCTCGACTCCGGCCACTTCTCCCTCCCAGCACACCAACATAGCCATGGCCATCGATCCCACTTACACACGCAGGGGCTACAGGTAGGGTTGCCATCCATACGGATGGTCCCGGACTTGTCCGGGTTCTATATAATTTCTCGTGATTAAACATTTTCATATGCTTCTAACAGTAGCGCTGATATTTTTTAAGGTGGTTGGGGGGGGGGGCGAGACCCCGCCCAATATTTCCAAATAAAAAATCATTAAGCAATAGGAATACAATATTGAAAAAAGTAGACTTTCTATTCAGAATCAAATGGTAGTCTATTTTTTTCAAAAAGTGAATTGAAACCCCTATAGCAGAGAAACTGTCCATTTTTTAGGATTGTCACCCGATTCTGATCAGAATGATATGGACTACATCGTATCAAAAATTCAGCGAAATCCACTATTTTGATACCAAAATTAGCTCTTAAATTGAATTTTCTATTATTGACACAAAAATAGATATGCTGCTTGGCAACACATTTAGTTCCTAGGAGCTAAAGTTGAACTTTAGCTCCTAGGAACTAAAAAGGATGTACTAGAGGTCATCAAGAATAAACAACGTTATGGTGGTTATTTGGGTAGGGACGCATACCTGATTTGTTCCCGATTTCGACAGATTTGGCATTTCATACCCATGCTGGGGATATTAATACGCCTTAGTATAGTCTTTGAGTATTCACGCTAGTGTATATAATCAAGGGTATAGTTGAGTATTTTTGTTTTGATCAGGAATGCCTTCAAGATTCACATACTTGCTTGATATCTATTTCATTCGATATTTTCGGGATGGATAAGTTGTTTTTGAATAATCACGGCCAGCAATAGTTTTTTGTCCCAAACAACGAAATTGTTTACCTACTTTTGATTATCAAGCCAAACACAGTGGAGTATGGAAAGAAATAAATAATCGCTATTATTATTGTTGATAAGCTCACTAACCTGTCCATGTCTTGTTCCTATACCTGGCACTGGCGCGGTATTTGCCATTAGAGCATCTGGTCCATACACAAATATGTCACTCTGTGGTTGTATTTATTTATTTATTTATTTATTTATTTATTTATTTATTTATTTATTTATTTATTTATTTATTTATTTATTTATTTATTTATTTATTAATTTATTTATTTATTTATTTATTTATTTATTTATTTATTTATTTATTTATTTATTTATTTATTTATTTCAGTTATTGCATTACATTATCTTCTTCATTGATACATTTCATACAAATAATATATAAAGTATAATTAATTTTCTAGTAGGAATGACATGAATGATCAGACAGTAATTCCTGGTATAAGATCATTCATGAAGTATTATCGACTGTTGTATAATTGGAATTACAAATAGTGAACAAAACTTACATATCATTAAGATATCTCAAAATAACAGTCATATTATAGTGAACAAGAAGGGGAAAAATAAAAACAGTGAAAAAAAAAGGAAATTCATAGTCTTTCACCTTTGATCATTCGATCCTTTGCATATAAATATATTTCTTCACTTTATATTTGAATTGCATAATATTTGGGCTGTTCTTGATATCATCTGGTAATTTATTGAATTTCGAAATCGCCTCATGTGTAAACTTTTTTTGTCCAAGTTTAGAATTTGCAGCTTCAAGATGAAACAAGTTATATTGTCTAGTGTGATGATCATGAATTTCGGAATTCCTGATTAATATAAAATTTGATTTAAGCTTTTTGTTGATGATATAATAGGAAATTGAATAAACTTGCTGTTAATGCAGGTAGAATATTCTCACCACACCGATTATTTGTTGCATTGCATACATATGGCACGGCATTGGTGGTTACTTTACATATTTATTCGAGTTTAATCGTTTCGGTTGCAGAAAAAATAGCATGTTTCATTCGGATCAAAAGTGACTTAGTTTGACAAGCGAATTTTTGCATTTGCGAGGCGGAGCGTTTAGCGAAGCTGAGTGTCACTTTTGATCCTAATAAAACAATCTACTATTTTGTCCTGGTGTTCATATTTTAGAGATGGCAATCCTAGCTACAGGGCTTCCTCCAGTTTCGACACGAATTCGAGTACGGTGACCACCAGCACGTCGAGTAGCAGTCCGGGGGTGCTGCCGCCGCCCGATTTGCCGGAGCTGGACGAGGACAACCCGGCGCCCCCTTATATGCCCATCCAGGGGCAGCGGAGGACCTCATCGTTGGAGAAGAAGCAGAAGAAGAAGAGCAAAGATGGGTGCAAGCAGCAGTGAATGGCAATCGGGCGTAGTTATGCAAAAAGGAACCGGGTGACATGATCGTCGAAACTGAGTATGATGGCTAAATATATCTCTTCTAATTTAGGCGAAAAAGAACCAAGTGAATTTCAAACATATGGGCATTTAAACTGGGCAACATTGATAACGTCGGGGTCCAAAATATAGCCTGAATTCAAAGTTGAATAACTCACGAATTTCCATACCAATTTGAAATCGTTTTTCACCAATGATCAGCCTGATCCCTTGACTCTTCTTGTGGCAATATGAAACTTCTGTAATTTCAGATAACATTGCTACAGGGTGATAACTGAATGGTCTTCACCTTACCGTCGTTTGAACAGATAATTTTTTTTGCATTTGTTTTCTCGCCTGTTTCCTCTTGATTGATGCGTTCTCTAGAAACGATTTCGGAATTTTCAAATTCAGAGCTTTGATAATCCTGTTATGAATATTCATACAAAATGTTGGATTTTTTCGATGATTAATTGAATGAAATTGGAAGTTGTAATTCTTTTTCGAAGTATCAACGTTGTATGTGTAGTCGTCGGATATGTGATTGACAGAAAATTTGAAGAAGTCTATACCAAGTGATACAAGAAAAACTGAAAGATGGATATTGTTCTCTGTGTTACTAGTGAAATAATGGAGACTTCGTCATGAGGATGTCTGGTGTCTGACCGCGAAATGGTTTTTGTAATTTCTCGGATCGAAGTCATATAATGGAGGTATGCATTTTTAATCATTATAATGCATTTTCGCTGAGATAAATTATGCAATTTAAAAAATTACAATTGTAGTTCCAGTTCCAGAAGTATGAAATTTATATTTATTCTTGACGATGGATATACAAGGTGTGATAAAAAATATGTCCAGATTGTCCCGGGACGAGGATGAATATGTTTAAACGTGATAAAAATCGATCTGTTCGGAAAAAGAAATATAATGTCAGTCATTGTCGAAAATTGTGAAATGTATAAATACAGTTACTCATGAGGCTCATACGAGGAAATATGAAAGAGACTACAGAATTGCCATAGATTGGATAACATGTTTTTAATACTAATGAAGATAAATACAGTAAGTCCTCATGAGGCTTATATGAGGTAGTATGAAAGAGACTTCACAATATGCAATTAGGATTTTTTTGACTTGAGAAAATCAAAATAGCAATAATTGTAAGTATAAGTTAGGCAAGCTATTATTTTTTTTTCAACAGAATTCGTCAAATCTATAGCAGCCTTGTGAAAAAGATGATGCAGAAATGAACATTCATCAAGAGTTATTCTATCTCCATTCAACTTTACACTGAATGACTATGAGGAAATTGTCCTTCTGAAGATGAGATGGTTCACATGAAATGGTTCTTTTGGATACCATCAAGATGGATCCTATAACTCTTCAGGTTTTTACCAAAATCCCCGGACAATTCAAAATGCAAAAAGGAACCATCACACTTTTCTTTGTTGAATTATTGTTGTTTAAGGAAATTGAAACTGAGATTTTTTCATTGAATTCTCTATGTTTTTCACATGGGAAAAGATGAGAAAGTAGCAAGGCAAAATATCACTGATTTAATAATGATTCATAGCCTTTCAATATCTTGAAACTTTGTTCCTATTTGCATAACGGCATCCAATTATTGTTGGACTATTGGAAAGCTGATTTTCTGTAGTATGGGAATGACAAAGCTACTGGTAAAGCAGTTAATTAAAATTTAAATTTGTGGCTGCTAATAGATCTGAGCGAGAGTCTGAAAATGTTCATTTAAAAGTTATATAGTTTAATTTTTGTTTGTCATTTAGTTGTACTTAATATCTAATTAGCTATGATTATTAAACATATCAATAGTGTGATTCTATATACAGGTCATGTCAAGATATGTGAATTTACAGTTTAATAAGATATACCACAACAGGTACATATATATTAAATTCCTAGAATTCTGAAATTTGGAATCTCCTGAAACTACAATAATTATTATTACAAGATAAGAAACTAAATTTTCATCAAAGGCCATATAAATGATATATTAAGTAGGTAGTGTGTATTGATTTAGGCAAATATGTTTATTGCATACAAAACATTTTTGAAGTGATTTTTACATAATCAAAAGAGAGTTTCAATAATTTTATATTATTTAACAATAACACCAAAAATATATGCTCAATATTATTAATAAGTTAGGTCAAGATATTTTATTCATTTTGTAATAAATCCTATTTAGATATGTTCTATTGATCACCTCAGTTCTATCAGTTATGGTTGGTAATCAGAAGAATCACTGAATTTCATGGTTAGTGAGGTTCATTAAAGTGCATTTTATCATAGCTTTAATCTGGAAGGTAAATCTCAATAAATCCATAAGTCTGGCTGATTAATTGAACATTTCATTGTTTAGTGTATTTGGTGGACGGTTTTTTATATATTCCTATTTATATATTATATTTCACATATCTTTTTGTATCTTTTAATATATTAATGTTTTTTTTGTTAAATTATTTCTTTCTTTTGAAGTCACTGTGATCCCTGTCCAAAATGTCCAGTCAATAAAGGGCATTATTATTCAAACTATCATGATGGGTTTATAGATTCAACTAAACTAAGAGTTAAACAAAACAACTATGAACTTAAAAAGTTGAATACAAGGAAAAAGGAAACATCTATGAGGGTTAATACATTTACATCAGTCATTTGAATCAAGAATTAAGGATTTTAAAGTTGATCAACTTTCAACTTAACAATTATGAAATTCTGGAGACAGAAGACAAAACATGAAGATTGCATTTGTTATTGTTCAGGTGGAGTTTGATACTTAATTGAAATATTTTTTATGGACTCATGAATTATGGAAACCAAAATCACTTTTTAAGATCTCTAATCAAAAGACATTTCACATTTAATTCTCAATTAATATCATTTAAGTATAAACACCTTCATGATTATTAATTCTTGATTGTTAATTCCTAAATGTTAATTTAATTGGATATATAAACACAGCATTACAAAGCTTGCTATGTTAATAGATTTAATCTTATTAAATCTACTTTGCTTTTAATGATATGGACAGGTGGTAAAATATTACTCCTACAACTACATTTCTGACCAGAAATAAAATCAAATGCCCCTATTCTGGAATCACAATGAAGGCAATTGATTCTTCCTTTTGACCATTTTTCTGCTTCAATTCTCAGAGTTATCCAGCTGGGCAGGTGTTCTTCATTCAGATAGAGGGTATTTTCATCATTGACCGTTTCACAGATATCTGGTACTGTGGTCACAGGAAGATTATGAGCATTCAGAAGTAATCTCTTAGAGTCGTCTTCGTTGAATAACAAGTTTCTGCATTTCTTACATTTTATTTTGAACATTTTGAAAAAATTAAGTCTAGTATTCGAGGTTAAAAAAGAGAAGAAAGGTGCACGGAACGATTTCTTCTTATGCTTATGTTTTCGCTAAATGTTCTTTGACAAGAGTAGAGGCAGTGAATAATTCGCGAGAATCACGAAGGGTGCGGCCTCTGGTGGCTAACTGTACAAGCCTTGCGAGTATGAACAACACTGTCAATTGTCATTATTAATGTCAAGAGACCATTTTTGCATTGGGTTTCAACTGAATTTTGAATATTTTGTTGAACTTCGTGTGAGTTCTAAATATTGTTATCATTTTTTCTAAACATGCAGCGAGTTCACAAAACTGTTGAAACGAAATCCAGGAAGTTTTGTTCAGTTCCTCAGTGCTCATCCTACACTACTCCTAGGGTTTCTTTACACAGATTTCCTCGAGATCGAAAATTGTGTAAAGCCTGGGAAAACGTTTTAAAAATTGGGAAACCGATTACACAAAGCATGTTCGTTTGCAGTAAACATTTTATTGCTGAAGATTTTTTAAATAATAAAGGTGAGTAACATCCAGCCTTTGATAAATCATAAATGATTCATTATTCCTATCATTTTATATTTTATGGTTCTCAATTTCAGGTAATTCCAAAGGAAAACGTAAACCACCAAAACTCCTTAAAAAAACTGCAGTACCTCGTCCAGTACTATCAGTAAATATTGGGAATACATCATCACATGAAACAGGAAGGACCTGGGGAAGGACTATATACAGAAAGTGAGTACCTACATGATCATAATTGTGATTATTCTCAAATAGTTACTTACCTGTTTTGTGATTTTTCATAAATAAATGAATTTAAAGGTCTCCAAAAAGAGCTGGAATTGATAATGAAGAATCAGAATTTCATCATGAAGAATTAGTCAGTCAGTTAGTTCCAAACTTGGTTCAAAATGTTGGTGAAGTAAAAGGGAACATGGAATCAATCCAGGAATCAATCAATCAAAGTGATATGGAAAATGATTCTAGACCTACTTCAAATGATGATGATGATAGCTCAGATGATATGGAACTGGAGATTGGAACTGCACATACTATGGTGGTTGAGTCTTCTACACAAACAATGGAACACAAACTTCAACTGCCCCAGATATTGAATACAAATGATAAATTGAAAACTTTCACAGGTAGCACAATAGGTATACCTAGGTGTCTACTGAAATGCTCTCAGTTGTATTGAGTTTATAATGGATTGTTCCAACTCTTCCTACACTTCTGTTCAGTAGAAACATCTGATGTATAAGAAATAACATTTACTTTATTTTTTAAAGGTGTGGATTATACAATTTTGGGAGCCTATGAAAAATGTATGAGAAATGTGGCAGCATCAAATAATCTCAATCTATCAAATATTGAAATGAACATAGTACTGGTTCTATGCAAGTTGAAAACCAACCTTTCATTCAGTTGTCTAGCCCTTCTTTTTGGTTTGAGCAGTTCTATGTGTACAAGAATTTTTTACTCTACTGTGAACCTTTTGGCACAAAGTATCAAATCAATTATTTATTGGCCACCTAAAGAAGAAATTTTGAAAAACCTCCCAAAATGTTTCCATAAATTCAGAAATACTAGAGTTATACTAGACTGCACAGAAATTAAGGTACAAAAATTAAAATGTTTAAATTGCAGAATATTATCATACTCACATTACAAAAGGTGTCATACTATGAAATTTCTTATTGAAATTACCCCCTCAGGATTGATTTCTTATGTTAGTAAAGGATATGGAGGTCGTGCCACAGATAAGGCAATTTTTAATAATGAAAATCTTATTACAAAGTTTGAACCTAATGATGGAATCATGGTTGACAAGGGGGTTCTAATTGACACTGAATGTGAGGAAAATTTAATAAAATTGATTAGGCCACCATTTCTCAAAAAGAAAAAGCAATTGACAAAGGAAGATGCTGAATTGACTGCAAACATTGCCAGAGCAAGAGTTCATGTAGAAAGAGCTATTGAGAAAATTAAGAACTTCAAAATTGTCAATGATCAAATAGACTGGTATTTGATACCTTACATGGATGATATCATTACAATTGTGGCTGCAACAGTGAATATGAAAAATCCAATATTAGCTGATGAAAAATTCTGAATTCAAACACAAGCAGATTCGGTCCCCAAACGTCCAGAGCTAAGTGAAAATTTGATATTTTTTCTATATACCTTCATTTCTCTTCTCCAAACCTTTTTTAATACAAATTGTCACTGACAAGCTACTGGATTTTTCTTTTAGGCTCCCTGATAGAAAAATTTGTTAAACGCAGTGACATTTTGGGGCAAATCATCTGATTTGTCCTTACTACATATTGAAATAATATTCATATTCTTATTTTATAGAAATGAGGAGAAAATCCCAAAAAATCTGGAATAATGAATGTACCACCTCCTGGATTAACCTACAGACAGTATATAAAATAAAGTTTTTATTCTATATATAATGCATAAATGCAAATTAGGAATTTCAATTCTTATTTATTCTTATTTACCTGGTGATGTTTGTAGAATTTCCATTGTATTATCATTTCATTGTTTAACTTCATTTTTGTAACTTTAGAATTCTGTAACCCATATACATTTCGATTTTCATTCATTTTATTAGGTAATTTTGACCTATATGTAAATGCCTGCCTATGAATAACTGTAAAAATATATGCTTCTATAGGATCACATTCATATTATGAAGAAAAATGCATGGAAATAAAGAAAAATGGTTTATGTTGATATTGAAAATACCTGTTGTCTATTATCCACAGCTTATGATGTTTTAATTGTATTTTCGATTTTGTATGAAAGCTTGCAAATTTCTTACTCATATTTATAGTTTTGTGTCATTAGTCCCTTCCCAATTTCTTTGTCAATAAGGCGTTTTGGGTTTTATCAAACAATTGATGAATCAAATTCTGAATCTTCACAATGTATTCCTATATTTTATACATGATATACCAATTCAGGATATAAGACAATAAAAAAAGTTTCAAATTAAAAACTGTTTATTGTTTATTTACTTTTATGTTGTACATCTTTCCATAATTCAAAATAATCATTCTGATTTATGTTAAAGTAAAGTAAAATTTATTGATTTTCAAAGACCACTGGAAGTGATATAAAACACGTCATAGCTTACATATAGTTAATTCACATTTAAAATTGACAAATATAAAAATAGTGTATATTATGTAAAAGAAAATATATAATATCTTAAAGTGAAGGTATCTATCTAAGTAGCATAAAATTCTTCAATACTATAAAACATTTTTGACAACAGAAAAGTTTTGAGATGTTCATTTATTCATACAGTAATAGTGTAACATATTATCAAAATATTTAGTTGTTATAGTTTTAATCAGTTCCCTAGAAAATAACTCATCAAATTTCACAATTACCTCTAAATAAGTACCTGAAAAAGAGGAATATACTAAGAAATGTGTTTCTTTCAAATTCAGCAAAGCCATTCCTAACTGCACTTGTCCATAGTAGGGATGTTTGACTTTTAATTGAACACCTAAACCATCCCTAGTTAAAAAATTGCACAAATCTGCAAATTTGTTGGAATCGTTCTCCTTGCCTGAAAGTAAGCTAGAATAATTTGAAATCAAATTCATATTTTCCACAAACCAATGAAAGGGCATTTCACTTCAATTAATCTCCATGGCTTTCCTTCATGAAATATCACACCATCTGGAGAAATTCCTAACCATGGAAAACGTTTTGAAATTATCAAATTAGGATGGAAAATTTGAAATTTCTTATTTTTCATCTCAAAGGACCTGATGGCTTCAGATTCAAATTTGATGCCATGTTGAGTAAATTTATTAGAAAATCCTTTGGGGAAGAAAAAGCTGATTGATTTATTTTCCCAGGAATCCTTCTGGTATGTATAAATTGAATAACAGTTAGAACCTAGAATTATGAATAATGTAGGTACAGGCATGAATAGTGTGAATTTGGAAAATCAATTAACTTACCAGTGATTCTTAGCTGTCTTTCTTTTTTCCACATAGGTGACCCCTGTGGATATTCGAGAGCCACTTTCATAATGTCAGTGCCCCTAAGTGTTTTTAAAATATCTTGGCAGCATCCTTGCAAATTGAAATAGTCCAAATTGATCAAATCAGAAATTTTTTTGAGAAACGGACTGTCTTCTGCACTCTTCAATAATTTTTTCAAATATACAGTTGACTCCACAGTTGATGATGAACCCCTGAAAAAATCAGAAACACACAGAAAAGGGAAAACGAATATAAGGGTGTGGAGCAGTTTTGCTTCCAATTAAAAGAGGCCCGATATGCCTGTAAAAGAACTTTTGAATTATACAACCTGTCCTCAGCAGATGATTGATTTTCAATCTGGACTAAAATATTTCCATTGCTAGATGAACCTTCAGCTTCTTCCATACTCATCATTGGCTTTTCTAATGTTCGACCAAGAAATTTAGCAATGCTAGAATTCCCAGAGGCTGAAAAAAATTGGATTAGATTGCAAAGGAACATTTATCCAAGAGAAATGAACAAAATTCAAGTAAAAATATATGAAAGCAACATGAGCATTATAATACTCAGCCACTCAGCTATTGATAGTGTTGATATATAATACCACTTACCTACTGAAAGTATATCAAAATTTTCCTTGTTCACAGCCTCAGTAATATGATGAGTAACTTTTTTTTTTTTAATTAATGGGTGACAGAATTCAGAGAATGGTTTTGCTTTATACATGTCCTCAACACCTTTCTTTTCTTTTCCCCACTTCTGGGTTAGGTCTGTGCAACTAATGTAATCCAAGTCTTCATTCCTGGAATTTTGGGAGATCCTATCATACCTGTGACACATCAAATGTGCACTTACCTATTTATATAAATGAGAGTCCCTATAACATGTTTACAATAACCAGAGTTCCCTGCTTTGCATGAACATTGGCATATCCAAAGTGCATTTTCTTGGGGAATTATTTTTATCTCATGGGGAGGCTGCGTGAGGGCTGAGGTTTGTAAGCACAAGCTCTTAATTACATGTGTTTGTTCAACATCTACCCCACACAATATAATATGTCCAGCTCTGAAGACAGCCTCTCCCTCTTTCAATGGCCTTATTTTATCACCAATGTAGTCGATAATATTCGAAATACTCACCTCAATTCTTGGCATTTTCGAATATAATACTAAAAAGAGTAGAATGTGATGAACATAAATCAAAATTCTTTGTTCTGGTATCTGAATCCACCTTCACTTGTGGTTGAAAAATTCGCATTAAATGCACTGAGAAACGATAAAATACCTTTTTCACTTTCTAATAACGTTGTTGATTAAATTTTGCTATGGATATTCCTGGGAAACTCTATTTTGGAAAATAAACGCTGATTTCGAAATGACCAATTGGCGGGTAAATCTACATACGGCAATGTTTTTGTTGTTCATACTCATTTTGACATTGATTTGACGTTTGATAGCGCCATCTATTGGTTCGTGATTTTCGCGAATAGGTCGCGTGCACGAAGACCCAAGGATTATAAACTCTAGAAGGATTGCCAGATCCCGCAAAATCTTCTGCCGTGGTCACGTGATAGGGTATCAGAACTACGTCATCACATTGATCGCAATATGGCCGTCAAATTGGAAAATTATTTTTATTGTATTTATAAAATATCTCAAATAATGAAATTGAGGGACATGAACTAGAATAATCAACTCTGGGTGTAATTGGAAGGTAATCGTTGAATGGTCTCACAGGTTAGTGATTCAAATAATTATTATGTAATGTAATATTTTTGTTGCACAAATTACGAAAATGCATTTATTATTCATTGAAGTTTTTGGTTGTTTCAGATAGAGTCCCTGTATGTATTTGACACTTTTGCTGTACTCTCAATAATAATGGGAAACCGAAGAATATCACATGGAAAAAATATGGTCCATTTCATCAACTGATGATAGTGATGATATCAGTAGACTTGGGATCATTGAGAATGCTAAGCAGGTATGTTAAACAAATATTTCTCTTCATAGTATAATTTCATCTTTGCTCTCATGTTTCAGTGAACTAGAAATAGATCTTTGACAGAGGAAGATGTATTGAAAGCTGATGGTCATTAAATATGTAGAGTAGATGAAGCAATGTATATAAAACTTATGTTTGCAAACATTAGCTCTTGGACAGCCTACACATTCTAAAGCATAAAGGTACTTGGCAAGCAGGGATGTCTCAGGATTTTTCAAACATATCTTCCCTATAAAAAGGTGGTGTTATTTTTGTTGTATTACTGGTTCATCACAGCTCAGCAATGATCTTTTGAAATTTCAGAAATGAAGACTAAATGTGAGCTGTACAGATCTGAAGTAGAAAATAGAAAAGAAAGAAGAGGGTTCAGAGATAATGTTTAATATTCTGAGTGGATACATTTAAATCTCCATTAATTGTTAATTGAAACCATGTTGCAAGGCTATATTAGAGTATTTTATGGAAAATATGCATTAAAAGTTGCTATTGAATATCCACAGTGATTGGCAATATGGAAAAAAGGAGATAAATGAAAATAACTGGTAATTGAATTTTTGACATAATTATCATCTGATACTCACTTTGAATTATTTAAGGTTTACTTTCACATGATAGGAAGAATACTTGGAAAATAAACTGGTTTTTCCAGGAAAGCTTAAGAAATAAATTTGTCAAGCATCAAGGAAGCTACAACTTTCCCTACCTGTAAGTTGAATATGATTGTAGTACATAAGTATTTTAACATATAAAATTGTAGATTCCTCTAGCTGAAGTTGGAAACATGTCACATTTTAACCTTTTAAAAATTATCAAAATCTGGAGAAAACTGAGGATTCCTACTTTCCTTTAAAAGTTAATCAATTTGTCTCACAATATTCCTCCAGATGGAGTTATTTTTGAGGATGAAATGATTGTAAAAAAAATCAAAATTCAGCTCAATTATTTTAAATTAATTAAATTTTCAGGTAAATAAGTGGTTCAGAGAAATTTGTGGAACTGTGTAATTACTCAATACATGAATAGTGATACAAGAGGAAAAACATACACATTTTGTGGAGGAGGACCTTAGTAAAATTGGAAGGCACCCAATTTTTTCAGTGTATTATTTTCCTTAAAGTTGTATAGCTAGTAGTACAATAGTAAAATTCAAAGAAATATATTATGGATAATGATTTGTAAAGAATGTTTCAAGAATATGTTACATTATCATTTCACTAATTGTAATGAGTATTGTGATTAAATTTGAAAATTATAAATTTGATTTTCTGAAAAAACTTTAATTTCCTTATTGGTCTATAGGGGAATAAAAACAAGACTTGAAATCAATTCATTTTATTCAGTGGGAACAGTAATAGTGGAGCATTTGCTTATATTAGAAATAATTGAAAAGGTAACAACTTCTGTAAGTATTTCAAAGTATATGTTTTTGTATATTGAAATTTGAAAACCTATAAGCTCTATGGCTAATCTGAAACAAAGTTATTATGTTTTGATAAAATAGGGCCAACTTTCCTATCAATAACAATTTTCTTGAGTAGGTATGAACATTGTAGGATACATTTCAAGCAATTTGATCATAAAAATAATTATCTGCCAGATTTTGTTCAATAGCTGCATTGCTAATCTGAAACTAAGTAATGTTTTGACTTGTGAAAAATAAAAATACTGATTTTTCATATAGAGTAACTTTCCTTTTTACAAATTTTCAAGTGCTGACTCATGTCAAGAGCTTCATTAAAGATGTATCTTTTCTATTTGTATCTTCTGGCATTGAATCATTGTTTCCATATTCTTGTACTTTTCCCCAAATTGTCTATAACCTAGATAGTATAAAGTTGATGAAATTCTGTTCACATTTGATGATGATTGGACTTTAATGGACTTGATGTATTTGTTCTTGGCCAGTATCATTTCAGACTACTTCCAATAATTTTTCTGAATGGTCTTGTGTCTGCCCTGCATCATAGTTTTCTTGAATTTCTGCCAGTTCCAGTGTGGGAATCGCAGTTTTTTTCAAAATCCTCTTCAAGGGTGAACCTGTAACAAAATGCATGATAGATACAACTGTTATCTGTAAGTCAAGCATATAGTTTTGTGAGAAATGCAATCTTTACCTAATAATTCATTCTTCAAGTCTCTTTCATAATCTTCTATTGTGAAATAACAAGAACACATTCTACTTGAATCTGGATTGAACGTTGTTTTACTGCTACATCTGGTTATCCATTCTTGTCTGATGGTAACAAAACCAGGAAATCTATGAAAAATAATACCAGCACCTGCAGTTTTGGAATAGGCCATAAACAGCACAGCACATTCCAGGCATTTTATTGGTTAATCTGTGAGAAATATACAACTGTAGGTATGTGTATTCATGTACAAGGATCACAATCAATACTCACAATGAAGTTGTTCTTTGCAAAGTACTTCACAGGCTGTAAAAATTCTCTGTATGCACTCAAATTCACAATGGTTAGGAGGCTTCGAAAGTCTCTTTCCTCTTTCTATAATCTGTAATTCGATGGTTGATAGCTGATGAGTGATCACTCATAAATAAAAAACATGAACAATTTCTCACAAATCACTCAAATCACACAAAGAAACCTTGGAAAGCTTTGAAAGATGTAACCATTGTAACATTAGCGCGCGTTTGCTAAATATTTCAGCCATGTTTGTTTATGTTTTGTGTATTATTTCGACCAATAGGATCACGGCATGATCACAGAAAACAAAAGAGATGCGAAAGGCATCAGCATGACGTCACATTTTAGGGAATACATTGGAAGATAGGGATCTAGCACTCCTTCTCTGTATACTCTCCTTGACGAAGACCGACCCTGGAGGCAAAATATTGAAACACAACCTCATTCTTCTGTGAATTATTGAAACACAACCTCATTCTTCTGTGAATTATTGAAACACAACCTCACTTTTTTATTTGGTTACAGAGGAATCAAAAGGTTGAAATAGTTTTTCACAATATTTTGGCATACGAGTCGTGTTTCTTGCGTTATTCATTAATTCAAGCATGCCTTCGCATTGTGCTGTTGTACAATGCACAAAAAATGAAGCAAGAGACTAGGGAATATGATTTTTCAGGTAAATAGTAATCTCACATAGTTAGCATTATGAAATGTTGTCATTCCTTATTAAAATTCCTTCTGCCTTCTACCACTTCTGCAATACAAGCTAATGCTGCTAATAGATTGAAAATGTCTACAACACACACGATCGTCAGCATGTCAGACCAGTCCTACCGATTGATTGCATGAATCCGATCTTCTTGCATTATTCTAGAAATTTCAGGTATATTTCTATTAGCTGATCCTATTGCAGAAGGAACTCCGATGAGAAATCAGAGAAATAACCAAATTTCAAAAATGAAAACTATGTGAGTGACTATAGTAGGTACTTACTTTTGAATCATAATGTACCATCCGGATTTCTTCATCTTCCGCTGCAGTTTTTGTGCATTTTACAACAGCACAATGTGATGGCATTAGCGAATTGATGAATAGCGGAAAAATACGATTCATATGCCAAAATAATTGTGGAAAACTTTTTCCATCACTTGTAAACAAATATGTTTTGCCTCCAGCGTCGGTCATCTGACAGTTCTTGCACGCAACCCATAATAAGAAGAAGACTTTCAGGTTAGTTTAGTTTCAGGTTAGGTGAGGGTTTTCTTGTTTAGTTGTCGGTCGCTTGGTATCACGCTTGAAATAGGGGGGTTGATAAATCGAATTGAATATTTCGAAGCACTAGATCACTGCCATTACTAGAGATGGTTTTCTTCACATGCAACCATTGTGGGGAAAGTCTACAGAAACCCAGAGTTGAAAAACATTATGCTTTTGTGTGCAGAACACAAAAGTTTTTGACTTGTGTTGACTGTTTGAAAGACTTCAGGTAAAGTTATAAGTGACTGATTATTTTATATTTATTCACTCATTTTCCAGAGGGGAGGAATATGCAATTCATATAAAATGTATCACAGAGGAGGAGAGATATTCTGCAAAAGGATCCCTATTAAATGGAGTTGTTAAGAAAGGGGAAGTTAAACAAGAATCATGGGTTGAAATGATAGCGTCGATTCTTGATAAGGAACCGAATATGAAACCAGCTCATCACAATTTATTGAATACCATATTAGGATACTCAAATATTCCAAGGAAGAAACCAAAATTCATGGTAATTCAGTGATATTTTCTGTACACCTAGGAAATGGTTCAAACAAAATACTTAATTTGAGTGTATGTTTATCTTGTTTTTGATAATTCTATCACTGTTTGAATTCCAGAATTTCATCAGGAGTTCTTCAGGGGGGCGTGTGAATATGAAGGAGGTTGAAGAAGTGTGGAATATAATAGAAAAATATAAAGATAACCAGGCTAAGGAAAATGGGCAGAAAAACACAAATAAATCAAATGATAATACATTTCCTGATCATGGTGATGTACATGATGCTACAACAAAGAGAAAAGTTGACAATGAAGGTGACACAGATAGCCCTAAAAAGAAAAAAAATATGGTTTCACCAGATGAAGATAGTATATTAAGAGAAGAAAAATTCAGTTTCCAGGATAAAATTATTGGTGTATTAGAATGCAAAAAGACAATTTCTTTAAAAAAATTGGAGAAAAAAGTTATCAAGGCATACTTGAATTATTATGGAAAAACAGAAGTGACACCCAAAATATCCAAGAAGTTTAATAAGAAACTGAAGAAAATACCTAATGTAGAAATTACTGAAGATCAAGTTGTATATAAAGGAATAGAAGCATGAGAAATAAAGAATTTACATGTTTATTTATCAATATTATTTTCTTCAAACAACCATAGAAATGCATGCCTTTTTTATTTTCAACACATTATGATTCATTCAAACTAAGAGAATTGGATAAATCAATATAATAATAACCTACACCATATTTGTTCTCAAATAATCATCATCATCAACTTTGACCAAATGAGTATTCAAGAACTCTTCAACTGAATCAGTGTTCCACTTTTCAATGGCTACAGTCTCTTGTAAATGTCCATCCTTATCATACAACTTAATAATAGGGTCCAATCCTCTCAAATATTTGATTTGCAAATTTGGAAATTGTGCAGGTCTGTGACTCTTGATGAAAGCTTGTATTTGTGGATAAGCTCCAAATTTGCAAGTACAAACCTCTAGTACAGCTTTGTGGTAGATCTTTTCTGTTGATCCTGATTCATCCAAGTGGCAGCACTCTTTACAGTGGACCCTAAATAAAATTATTTTTGAAGAATTCTAAATCGAAAACAGAACCGTCTCTTACGTTAAATCCGTCAAATTGAATTTGGGTAGTTGGTCACAGGATGAACATAGCAAATTTGCTTTATGGAAACCTAGTGCCCAACAGTCTTCTGAGGAAAATTCAGCTTCAGCTGTGCCCTATAAATTGAAAATTATCAGTAGACTGGCTATATAAATCTACCCAGCTTATACATACATAGTAGAGCACAGTTAGTAGCCCTAATACTATCGACTTCCCCAGTCCCATTGTAGAAAATATGATTTGTAGTTTGTATTTGTACTGTTTGTATATTTGCTTGTTAATCTGTGCTTTTAGGTTAGATGAATCTCTGGATGGGTCTTGATGTCTACAAATTGGATGTCTAACCAGGGTTGTTCCGTTTAGTGCACGCAAGTACGTTTCCCCCCCTAAATTCTAGAACTGAATGATGAATCTAGTACGGAAGTTACGGATCACATAAAGCGGCGTTCACAACCAAACTTGTTACGTTTTGCTTTTGACGTTTCGCATTCTGATTGGTGAAGCAGAATCTAAAATTTAATGTGAAATGTGAATTGAACTGGAGCAAATGTCATTCTCGACAAAAAAACGTCAACGTGAGTTTTTAGGGTTTTTCTCAGTTGCCTTTTTTTTTTGCAGTTTTGTCATTTGTACTTCATCGAAAAATAAAAAGAATTAATCATAACAATCATATTGATTAAATAATTGATAAAATTTAATATACAGAACTGACGGAGACGTAAATTGCTCCTTATTCAATAATTGCGAAGAAGAGAAGATAAGAAACTATTCAGTACCTATCTACTATGACCTGGATTCCCAAAAAAATCATGAACAAAAACAATATCATAACTTCCATAAAATGTTCCATAGACATGTATTCTATTCCAATCACAACTTACAGTAGTATTTTCCATTTTTATAACATTATTTGTCTATTTTTAACTTTTTCACAGACGATGGCATCTTGCAACGCGAAAAACTGAAAAAATTCAGCTTTTTGCGTCATTTCAATTCCAGATTTTGCTTCACCAATCAGAATAGGAACCGAAAAAATCAAAACGTAAAAAAGTTGGTTGTGAACGCCGCTTAACGGTAACACAGATATCATAGAATTCTGGCTCCAGCAACACTAGTGGCAGTTATGTGCACGTCAGCACGTCACAGCCAATTTTTATATCGAGTTCATTGTTCGCAGGGGAGCATCCCACGATGCCCAATTCCCACGATGCCCAATTCCTACGATGCCCAATTCCTACGATGCACACCTTCATGTCGACGATTACGAAGATTGCCGAAGAGCGCAACGTTGCCAGGTCGAGAAAAAAATTCTGAAAACAAGATTCCCACCATGCCCACTTCTCATATATTCTCACGATGCCCAATTCCTCTTCGCAGCACGTTGTACGTCGTGTCTGAATGTAGGATTGTTCGCGTTGAAAATATAAACAGGAGCATATGCGCCGTTTCACAGAACTGTAGATAGGTACGTACTTTTCAAGTTTCGTCCTGTCTAATTTTCGAATGCGAACAAGCCCCTTCATCTTTTAATCATATTTCCAAAGAGGAGGCTCTTTGATTTTTCATTATGACTTCTCATATTAGAGGTCATTCTGGTTTCATCAACGTAATTTCACTGGATAAATGAAAATTGCAGAGGTAAGCTATCCGTATTTATTTTCCACTTCATAAATATTAATGAAAATCATTCATATGTTCCAAGATTTTTGACAAAATCACAACCAGGATCAACAACACCATCAACAACATATGTGATCGTGACCTCAAATGAATCTCAGCAAAAGCAGAAAAGTGATTAGGATTATGCTGGCAGCAGTGATGAAAATTCCTGAGAGGGCTTTCTCAGAACTATCAATAATGAAAATTGAAGTTAGAAACAGTGCAAATGACTCATTTAAATTTTGAAGAAATAATTTAGATTCCTCTGATTGTGATTATCTATCTTTAAATTATCGTTCCAATAATGAATATTTACTTGTTTTGATCTCATACTCATATTACCTAAATATAGATTCTAAATTGGTTTTGTGCCTCTATTTTGAATTCTTTTCAATTTGCAGCATGGGTTTTTCAAATTTATTAGGAAAGGAAATAATCCATATGGCAACACCGCTGGATTGGGCCATCCTGTCATTGACGGCTTAATTGGCTTAATATCTAGACCTAGACTATGCCACAGTAGAGAGCTTACAGACATGGATCACAGTCCATGATACGATAATTTAATGTATCATGATCACAGTCTAGATATTTAGCCGTATGTTTTATATATATATACAGCGTGTCTCATTTCAAACGGCCCCCCCTCTATATCTCAGCTATCAGTCGTGCGATCTTTACCAAATTTGTATCGGTATGAATAATCATCAATATGACCAGTTCTTCAAAGACAATTATCACTTCAGACAGTGTCGTGCATTTTTATTGTAATGAACAGGGGTCAGTTTTTCATTAAATCATATTAGGCATTTTTTCACAGGAAAACTGACACATACGTGGATTTTCATAAGAGAAACCAGGCACATCTAAACAGCATTTTTGCGAACGTAATACTTATTTACTCGGAAACGGTGAGTTCAACATAAAAAAGTATAACTCGTTTTTCCTTCCAAATCATGATTCTCCACCTACCGAAGCCATTGAACGTTCCAAAATTCGTAGTTGATTTGAAGTCACTATTTATTTGAGACTAAAAATGAAAAAAATGAAGCCAATCCTATTAATTCGGAATTAGGTGATTTTTTGCATATGATGGGGGTTCGAAAGCATGAGGAACAATAATATGAGGTTTGATTTCCTGTAAAAAAATCTCTAATATGATTTTATGTAAAATCGACCCCTTTTCAGTTCAATGAAAACGCACGACACTGTCCAAAATAATGTGAATCTCTCTAATAAAACTGATCATATTGATGGTTATTCATACCACACCAAATTTGGTTGGAATCGCATGAATGATAACTGAGATATAGAGGGGGGGCCGTTTAAAGTGAGACACGCTGTATATATACATATTTGTCTCCAAAATATATCTAGTACGGTTTATTCTGAATCTAGCACGAAAATCCGAACAGGTCTAGTACCGTTTTTCATCTCCTCGGAACAACTTTGGAAAAAGGTTCGATTCTTGGAATCGATCTAGATCGAAAGAGAAAAAATCGATCCATAAAAAATCGAAAGGCAAATAATCGATTCAGTAAAATCGATCCTCGATTAGATCATAAATAATTTTCAATAATATACATGAAGAAGTGTAAAAAGATCGTGACTCCTGAAAATATGATCATTAAATGATCACATTTTAACGACGCGTCTGAACTGTCATCCTGAAAAATAGTTATTTATTATACAAGGGAAAAAAGTAGTAGATTTTAGCTCCAGGTTGTGTTGTCTCCCGACGCGTAGCGGAGGGAGACAAAAACCGTGAGCTAAAATCTAGTATTTTTCCCGTGTATAATACACTATTTTTTTCTGTGACAGAAGGAAGGACGAATCAATATTGGGAAGATATTACATTATTTCGAAATCTGAAAATTATCGACGTGAAATTTCAAGTTTTTAACAGTAGGGACACCTGCGTTTTATAGACATCTTTATCATTCTTTTGAAGTAATCAAATATCTGATGTCACTTCTGTCAGTTCAATTCTGTGATTTGATTTTAAAAAATTGCGAATTCAGTAGTTGTTTAGTAATATACGAAACCGCGAAGTCGAATGGAAGATAAAAGGACTTGCAGTTCTTTCTCGGAGACGGTATTATTGACTTATTTTTCGGAACTATAGCACAACAAAAGCCATTAACAGAGTATATATATGTGATATATATCCGGGAAAGAAGTACTCACTTTTTTCCCACGGGAAAAAAGTAATTTATGAAAAGTGACATTTTATAACCTGCCAACAGAGATGAAATGCCAAACTTTTTTCCCGTCACAGAAAAAACTTTTTTTTTTCCACGAACATTTGCCTAATTTACAGTTACAACACTGTAAATTAGATGGAGAGAATTTTTTTTCTACACATTTATTTTTACTCAATTAGTGCTAATTCACAGTTGCAACTATGAATTAGTGCTAATTGGACATAGGATAGGAACATGAAACTATATTCTTTTGGATGTTTGTACATCAATTAAATATTGATGAAATTATTTCATCAATAATTAAATGCATCAATTGCTAGGAAACAAACAACTAGCATAAAAATATCACCAAAATATTAGATCAGCAGATCACTTACTAATGAGTTTTGATCATTACAGTTCATTCATAGACCCAAGGGTTCTGTGAAGACAGCTACATTCTGGTATTCATTGAGATGATTTAAGAATGTAGTTTATCCACTTTCAATATTTCAACAGCTACAGTAAAAGGAAGCAGTATTTCTATTTAGGAAGCAAGCAATTGAATTATCTGCCATTGTTGTAAAATCTTCTTGTAATTATTTCAGAACAATGAGGTAACATTGGGTCTAGATAAATACTCTCAAACTGAGAATTTCAATGTCAATATTCAATTCATAAAGAGACACCATTTTGTCTAACACTTAACTAATATATTATTGTTCTATTATATTTCAATGAAAACAATAAGTACAGATATAAAATTAAGAAATAAAGTTATACACTATTATGGTGTGAAAATCATAAATGCACAAATCAAAAGATGATATTTCAAACTGTAAATTAAATAATTGAACATTCATTCAAATGAATTATCAATAGCTTTTGGCCCTTAAAGGTGACTTATTGAGATTGAGAATATGTGGCTCATACTTCTGGTATTCTTCCTCAATCACAGATTTATCAAGATTAGCATTGAGAACAATGACTGGTGCATTACACTTGTGCAGAGTTTTCTTCATTAACCAATCTTCATGAATCTCATGTAGAGCTTTTATGTATTCAAAAGGTACAGTACGTTCCTCAGACCTATTTCTTTTCAAGATTCGTTCATAGGCTACCTCTGGAGAAGTCCTGAGATACACAATCAAATCTAGATTTGTATCTTGAGATTTTGTAACATACTGGAACCATTGGTCAATGACTGCCACTGCAGGGGGCGCCATCAAACCATCTCTGGACATTTTTTCAACAAAGCAGTACCTTGCACTATATATAGAACGCTCCATCAATTTCACAGGCTGCTGAATTTTTTTTTGGTGCTGTCTCAGCATTGTAAGCTGTACATATGACTGGAAGGTGAAACTATATTTCTTTGGATCCTTATACATCAAATCCTATGGAATAAACAGCACACATGAGATCATTACTCAACATTTTGAAATTTTCAACTTACTAAAAGATTATATCCATCACAGTCCCTCCACAATTCTATAGGTTCTGCAAAGACTGCTACATTCTCGTATTTATTGAAATGATTTAAAAACGTCGTTTTTCCACTGCCCACGTTTCCTTCTACAGCTACAGTAAAGGGGTGGCATAATTCTGATTTGGATGAAGCCAATGTATTTGCCATTTTTGTAATGAGATTTTTCACTGATTTCATAGCTCTAATCTCCTAGCATTTTTGGTTTCACAAAATTATTACATCTTTGAAATGAAAACACAAAAAATTATTAGCACATAACCAACTTCCTACCTGAGTTTTCCCTCTTTTTCTGCGATACTGTCTACACGACCGCCGCGGCGGTTGGATGCTGATTCATAAACGACCGCCGCGGCGGTTGGATACTGATCCATAAACAACCGCCGCGATGATATTTCTTCCTTCTTCATAGAGAGTACTTCCGAGCAAAGCGATAGCTCAGTTGAAAATTCACCTGACCACCACGCCTGTGGCTCGGGTTCAATCCCTACTAGGCCTTATTTTTTCAAAACTTTTTTTCACAAATAATTTCTCGAAAAAAATACTTCTCAAGAGAAAGGTTCATTTAGGTGAGTTAGGTCAGTTTGTTTGAAAAAAGTAGTCTTCTTTTTGATGCAGAAACGATATTTTCCTTCCTCATGTCTCACGGCGGTCTTCTTTATAAAAATAGGTAACCGCCGGCGGTTGTTTATGTTTCAGTATCTAACCGCCGCGGCGGTCGTGTAGACAGTGCCTTTTTCTGCTGGGATTTTAAGGTTTCCCTCTTTTAAAATTTCAGTTTTGACTTTTTGACATCCCAATTCATAACCTACACTTTTTCTTCTTTTTCTTATTTCTTCTTCTTCCTTTCTTAATGGTCTCTTGTCTATTGCATGCTTCCATCATGTGCACAGCCAACTGCCACATGGATGTGCATCAGAGATCCGAACTCCATGTCTAATCCATGTCCTTCATGGGTAGGATAAGGTCAAGGTATGGTCGGATAAGGTAGGTAGGGTCCCTTGATGGAAATTGATTGATCTTTTAACGTCAATTTCCATCAAGGGGCCCTAGGATAAGGTAGAAAATGGTAGGAAGGTGAGGTGATTAACAACTCTTCTTCTGCCTCTTTTCTTCTCCTCCTTCTTCTTCTACGTTTCTTGGCCTCATATCCAGAAATGGACATTTTTTTCTTTATGGGCTCAATGACTCAAAAGTCAATACCGTGCACCATGCACTCTGCCGAAAAGTCGTTGGCCTAAAAAGTCTAAAAACTTCCCTAATTTCTTCCTTTTTATAACTACCAGTACCACAGCCAGTACCATAATCAATTGTTAGCAGTGCCGCCCGATCAGCTGAACTTAATTTTTTTTTTGTTTCTATTTATCACGTTAAGGATGGATCACGTTGCCATGATGAAAATAGAATATCCACCTTTCACATTGCCTAAACAGAAGGAGCCATGGAGAGATCACAGGGCATTGTCTGCTAAATATGGAGAAAAAATCTAGTGCCGACGTAGAAAAAGTCATTACGAAACGTGTCAAACCAATATGACTGTTTCCTTGGCTGTTTCCTGTTTCCATCCTTCACTTTCCGTCCTTATAGATAGATTCAAAACGTACCTCAAATTTTGTTCCTATTTTTGTTGAGATATCGTATAGGCGATGCGCCATATATAGAAATAGTAGATATATGACATTACCCGTCATTGACATGACACCTGCTGGAGTTAAAATCCGTCAGACAGTCTAGATATTTATCCTTCAGCCTGAGTGCTGAGATTCCTAACCTAATAAATGTTAAAGGGACTGAAATGATGAAAATCTATGAGAATGTAAACAAACATTAAAAAACATCACAAAAATTGGTGCCTTCAGTAGAGAAAAAGTGAAAAGGATTATCGAAGACCAATAAAATATAAAGGTTTAGTTGAGATGTAGAGTTTACGGATCATCTACACAATATTTCTCTTATTCAATGAAAACTATCCAATGATCCACTGATTTTTCAGAAATGGATTTACTTGAAGACCCAGAAATCAAAGAAACCTATGATAAATGCAAATACATAGTGAAAGTATGGGAGCACAAATTCGTTAAAAAACACAAAAGAATACCTTCCAAAGTAAGTGTATATTGATTTGAGATATATCTGCATCATAACATTTGTGAAGGATTCAACTTGAATAATGTGGTAATTTTAGCTTGACATAAAGGATGCTAGTAGAGAAGTACGAAATGCTTATAGAAAATACTTTCAACTCAAAACTGCTGCTCTGGAACAAAGTTTCATGGATGTTGATGGTTTTGATGATGAAGATGATGTTAAAAATGAGGAATTGAGCAGTAATGATAAAATCGGATATATCCCTGGTGCTATAGAAGAAAATGAGAGTACACACACATTCAACTTAACAGAGGAAATACCAGATATACCAAATAAATCCACTCTCAATGCAAATAAGTTAGAGGAGGATAAGTCAAAAGAAGTAATATCAGAAGTATGGGGAGCACATTTGAATAATAAAAAAAATGAAGTTAAAGAAAAACAGTCTGAACAGAGCAAAACTAATACCAATTTGAACATCACAAAGAAGTTGTTTTGTGGCTCAAAGTTCTCTAAAAGGAATCCTAGAAAATCCCTTTCATTTTCACAAAAGAATAAAAGTGAAACTACATTCAATCAAGTTTCTTTATCTCAACCCAATCCAACTACTGCATTTGAGTCTGAAGAGGCAATATCTTTATCACAATCTGACATCTTTAGTGAGAACTCTATTAATTTTAGCACATATTCTGAAACTGTTAACTCTCAACAAGTTAATATAGTTCATAGTGTACTAGAAAATAATCATAGACCTTTGAAATCTATAGACTCAGGGTGGCTTGAAAGAATTATACAGGAAACTGGGATATCTAGAGAAAATCCAGACTTACCATTACCCCAAAATCTATCTGAGGCATCAATTTCTAAGGAGAATGTAGATACTGAAGCCACAAAGTTGGACTATGATAGTGAAGATATTATTGAAGAATCAGATGAGGATTGTTCATTTGATAGTAGATCTCTGCATATAGCTAAAAAAAGAAAAGTTGACAATTCACTTGTTCACAGTGAAATTCTATCAAATTGTGCATCAGAACATGTATTAGATCAAAAAGCTACTGTGGAAACTGACTATCAAGAACAAGGTAAAATAGAAAATGCAATTTTTAATGAACATGAACATGATAATAATAAAATGTATGAACATGACATCAGTGAAAGTGAAGCCAAACAGAGTTCATGTGATATTGAACACAATAAAAGTAAAAATGATGAAAGCCATAGTGACTCTGAAAACTCTGAGAACAAAATAAAGCAATTAGAAAACCCTGAGAAATGTGATAAAGGCATAGAAAAAAAACGCAAAACTGCAGTTTCCAATCCAAGAAGAAATGCCAAATCACCAAAACGTAAAGCTAAGAAGCCACCTTCAAAGAGAAACACATCACAGAAGAATACCAAGGTTGAAACAGCACCTATTGAGGATATTTCACCAAGAAGATCTTCAAGGAAAACAAGAGTAAAAGTGAGTCTGCAAGAATTTCCCAGTGAAGAAGAAGATGCTTTTCATACAGACACTGATGAGAAAGATCCGGAATTCAATTTGGATAATGAGAAAAAGAAGAAAATACAAACTTGTTCATCAGATGAAGAACCAGAAAAACACACTGAAGTTATCACAAAAACTAAGAAGAGAAAAGAAAAATCGAACACAAGTACACTTAACAAAAGCAACCAAAAAAAACTTGAAGACAGTAACTGTGAGACTGAAGAAAAAAAACCTTATGAATTAGAATTCTCAATTAAGCCCCGTATAGTTGCCCCAAGGTACAGTAGCCTCAAAAAGATCATCACACAAACCAAATTATCCTCAGAGGTACCAATCCCAAAGTCCGACAAACCAGAACCTTCCCTGATCAAAGACAAGAGACAACAAGCCAAAGAGAACTTGGAAAACAAAATAGCTACAGGCAGACTGAACGACAATTTCGTGAGAATCGACATCAAGAAGAAGAAGTTTGTCCGAGGAAAAACTACTAAGAGCTTCAGCAAGTTCAAGAAGGCCCAGTGGCGTAGCAACAAGGCCAAGGCCCTGAGTGGCCCGGAAATGGACATGGGCGGGTGCGATGGGGGCATGCTCACGTGTTTCAACTGTGGACAAACCGGACACTTTGCCAGCCGTTGTCCCAACGAGAAAGGGGATGGATTGTTGCCCCTGAACACAGAAGCTGAGGAGGAGTGTCCGTTCCCCACTTTGGAAGAAGCATCACAAATGGCTGTTGAGAGTAACTTGATTGTACGTGTGCCTAAAGTGGTGTTGAAGGAAACACAGAATGGGGTTGAGAATAGTAAAAATGGTTCTGGGGACGAGAGGGATGATGATGGCTTGATGAATGAGTTTGAAGGGCAATTGGTTTTGGAAGCTTTGAGGTTGGAAGAGTATGTGAAGAAGCTGGATGTGAATATGTACATGGATAATGTGAAGACTGTTGAACCTTATTTCAAGTTGGAGGAAGATGGTTCCATTATGAGTAAGAAGAATTATGTTTATTTTGAGATCGGCGATTTTTTCCTTGAATATTCCCTTGACGTTTATTGCCTTCCTATCGAAAATTGGTGTAATTTTTCGGAAATACTGCACAAAATAATTGAGATACTTCACATCCATACTTTGTTTTCGGAACGCTCCATAACCAACAGAATAAAGGCTCTATATTGGTATTAGTATTGGTAAGTGTGGATAGTGACAGATGTGCTGTGACCTGATTACATCTATTGTTCCCCATCTTCTTCTGCTATCTCAAGGTCTTCTTGTTTATAGCAGCACCTCAAGCTTCAATTCTTTTAGGAATCTGAGGATTTTGAGGGGATCTGTTTGTGGTATTTCTTCCATGGCCAGCTGGTATGCTCCCAGTATGTCTGATCTTTTCTGATGTACACCAAAACACTCCAGCAAGATGTGGCGGGGTGTTTCTGGATGTTCCCCGCAGAATCTGCAGGTGCTGTCCTCCTCCAAGCCAAGCTTCCTTAGGTATTCTTTGAGTCTACAATGCCCCGTTAGAAATCCCGTTATTGCTTTGAGACTAATTTTGCTGATATTGATCAGTGTCTTCGATCCTGCTCGGTTGAAATTTCCGAGGAGATCTTTGGCCTGCCGTAGTCCTGGAAGTCGTCGCCAGTGTATTGGTCTCATTGCTTCTTCAGCTGTATTAAGTTCTTCTGGGAAATAAGATTTTCCAAGGCCGCAGAATGGGTTTTGATCCGATTAGTGGCGTTGATGCTCCTTCTTGTGCCAGAATCTCTGCTTGTTCATTTCCCTCCACTCCGATGTGCCCCAACACCCAGAAGAGGATTACCTTATTGTTCCTGCCTTGATTGTTGAGCTTGTCTAGGAATTCCCAAACCATCTTTGAGTTGATGTTGAACGAGCTCAACGCTTTGATGACTGCTTGGCTGTTGTCGGAGAGGATAGCAATCTCCTTGTTCCGGTATTTCCTGTCGATGTTGAACTGAATGCACCTTTCCAAGTCGTGAATTTTCGCTTGTAAAACGCTGTTAAACTGGCCCATCGGTTCGGAATATTTAGTGCGAGGCCCAAACACTCCTTCTCCAGTTCTCTCGGGTGTTTTAGACCCGTCCGTATACCATACTATGGTATTCTTTTCCAGTGCTTGGATGGATTCTGTGCTCCATTCTTCCTTGATGCTTAGTTTTGGTCGGAAATTTTTCTCGAAATTAAACCTGATAATTTCATCAGTTGGGAGATCGGCGAGGTGTGCATTTCCAGTGGGTAGTGAATCCCCCACGTTATGTGCTTTCTCTTTGAGCCTGGCCTTCTCCAACCTGAAATGTGCTCCCCAAGCAGTTCTCCAGTTCTCCTCACCATGGTGTGGATGGGTGTGAGGTCCAGTATGACCTCTAGTGCTGCTGTTGGAGTCAATCTCATTGCTCCTGTTATGCAAAGACATGCTAGTCTTTGCACCTTCTCTAACATTTTTCTTGTTGTGGCGAGTTCGGTTCTGCCGTGCGAAACTACTGCTCCGTAGGTGATCATAGGTTTCAATATCATATGTACATCCATCGCAGTATTGATGGGTTGCAGCCCCATGTCTTTCCTGCAATCTTTCTACATACCATCAGTGATGATTTCGCCTTGCTGATAATCTTTTCTACGTGCCGATTCCAGAGTAGTCACCTCTATAACTCTTATTACCCTTTCTATTGGTGAGTAAATGTACCGGGTGTCAACGTATACAGTAGACAAGCCAAGAACAGGTCGTAATGCGCATCCTTTCTTGCTTCCTTCATATTTCCTCAAATACTGAAATCATGGTGATTCAAGAAGAAAATCCCTTTTGTATTTTGCATTTTAGTTCTGTTCAGGTGAAACTATAGATTATAGGGTTTCAACTCGGGTTATATAGACCGGTAGCCCACAACGTGTTTTTTGTGTCTCATTTGTTCACACTCATCGATATAAGTATCCCCCCCCGAATTCCACCTTTCACTACACGGATATGAGGTCGCTGAATTGTGGACCAAAGGGTGGGGGCCGCCTGGGTGCAGTTGAATTAAAGAACCCGGGATCATTACTCACCGTTCGGCGAATGTAGCAAGGAACTGTAATTGAAAAAAGTTTGGGTGGTCGGCATTGCCGAACGTGTAGGGTTATAATTTGTTTATTTACAACCATATATGTAATGTTGTCATTATTAACGTCATTGAAGGTTGGGAAGTGTCACATTACACACCTCTACTTCCCGCCCTCACTTCCCGCCCTCTCTACTTCCCGCCCTCACTTCCCGCCCTCACTTCCCGCCCTCAATTATGTAATAATTCAGATATGTTCAGAACGAAACAGAGATTTATTAATTTTGATCGAAATATGATGGTTGTAAATAAAATACACACACTGGCACAATTAGGGGAACGGGTAAAATTTACACTAAGTTTGACATCAATTTTCTCTCGAACCGATCACTCGATTCAAATTTGTTTTTCACGAATGGTAGCTTCATTCTTCACGAATACATCTGAGAAATAACCACCTCCAAACGATTCGTCTTCATATCATATACAGGGGTGTAAAGAAAGTACGGATTTTTCGGTTTTCTTTAAGACATCCTGTGAAGTGAACCACTGATAATTGAAACGATTTTCCAACACCAAATTATAGCCCAATCTATCCCGAATATTTCCGTTTTTCATTCATCTTGATATCCCAATTATCCAAGAAAATATAGAGTTTCAAAGAAGAGGTGGATATTGGTATTAATTTTACCACCTCGAAACTCGAACTGGGGAGAACGTGTCGTTTTTCAACTTGTTTCTGTGAGGATTTTTACTTCAAGATGAGAATTGTTCACAGTTTCACCTATCGGTTTACTGTTTAAGGACACATATTATACGAATACTCTCATGAATATGCAGGGGTGATAAAAGTTGATCCAATGTTATTTTGGTGAAATGCTAATTTTGTTAATCAACGTTGGCTACTTTGTTAATGTCATTAATTATTGTCAAAGTCAAGCGATTCACAATTCATAAATTTGATTAATGAAAATTCAACGTAAGAGATTTGACTCCTACTGATGTGGCGAGGGCTGTAGCATTAATTGAAAATGACCAGTGGGCCAATGTTCTTTCAACATATGAGAGCCGCAGCTGCACCAATTCAATAGATGGCAGGGAAAGACTATATCGCCGAGGTGAACAAAATGAACAATTTGATTTTACTGCTTCTGTCTCCTATGGCAGAGGTTTAGTCATGGATAGGTTAGGTTAGTCAAGAAACGACACATTTTTAGATCCAATTTGAGTTTTGAGGTGTAAAATTGATACCAATATCCACCTTTTCTTTGAAACTCTGTATTTTCTTGAATAATTGAGATATCAAGATGAAAATATTCGGAATAGATTGGGCTCCAATTTGGTGTTGAGAAATCGTTTCAATTATCAGTGGTTCAGTCCACAGGATGTCTAAAAAAATACCGAAAAATCCGTACTTTCTTTACACCCCTGTATATGATGGAAAGACTCATCGTTTGGAGGTAATTATTTATCAGATGTATTCGTGAAGAGTGAAGCTACATTTCGTGAAGAAAAAAATTTGAATCAAGCGATCGGTTCGAAAGAAAATTGATGTCAAACTTAGTGTAAATTTTGCCCGTTCCCCTAATTGTGCCAGTGTGTGTAGTATACAAACCTCGGTAGGAAGTTTCATTCCTGTCTCACGACAGGAATGAATCACTTCCTAACGTTATTTATTGTCCACCAAACCGCGCCACCCAACCATGAGGTCCGGGTTGGTAGAACAGATAAATATACTTCTTATTTTCGTGTCATTTGGCCTTTTGCTATGATATCTTCTTCTCCGTTAATGTAAGAATTGGTCGAAAAGTTCCACATTGACATCCAACTGGTTAATACAGCCGATGCAGCACATTTTATCACCCTTCCAGAACAGAATTGAATAATGTCATATTAAGATTAAGTACTGATTAAAATTTTAACGGCTAAATGAATGTGACGTGACAGCAATGTCAATTCAGTGACGCTAATAAACAAAACCGAAGTCACTAGATCATTCAAAAAGGAAGGACCTATGATATCGCCTTTATGACACAGAAAGCAATCCTTATTTTTTTTCAAATATGCTTTACATTAACAACAATGAAAACATTGTGTATGACAAACTTCAATACAACGTGACTGTCTAAGGATCAATGGATATTATTTTGAATACAAATACTTGTGGCAACTTTTTCAATAGGCAACCCGGTAAAAATACATTCTTCTATGTATGAATATAATGTTGAAATTTGATTTTCATTAAATAACAGATGAACGTAGTAATCTTGCAGTCGGATCTTAGGCTATTCAAACAATAAAATATTTTGTGACTTTGACAGAAACACCCCCGATAGTCTACGAAACCCTGAAGAAATTCGGCCACGACTCGTTCCGCCCCGGCCAAGAACAGGCCATAATGCGCATCCTCTCCGGCAAGTCCACCCTGGTGACTCTGAGCACCGGCTCGGGCAAGAGTCTCTGCTACCAGCTGCCCGCTCACCTTTACTCCCTGAGGCGACCGTGCATCGCCCTGATCGTGTCGCCGCTGGTGTCGCTCATGGACGACCAGATAACGGGCGTAGCGCGGTTCCTGAAGGCCGGCTGTTTGCACTCCAATCAGACGAAAGCGCAGCGGCAGAAGATCCTCGAGGCGGTTTCGGCTGGGGAGCTGAGCGTGCTGTTGGTTTCGCCGGAGGCGGTGGTGGCGGGGGAGAAGCAATCGGGTGAGGAGGATTTATGAGATATCTACACCAATATTATAAAGATACTGTCTACACAACAACAAGTTGGATACTGATACATAAACAACCGCAGCGACGATATTTGTTCCTTCTTCATAGAGAGTAGAGTCCCTGTTTGTATTTGACAGTTTTGCTGTAATAAGAGTACGGACACTATGGCAACCAGTGACAGAAGACATAACCCTGGAAAATTTTAAATGACATGACCAATTGAGCGGCACTGACGGTTCATGAACGTACATGACATTGAATTATTTGAAAATTCAGTTTTTCAAAAATTAAAATGGCTAATTGTGTAGTTGAAAACTGCAAGAATAGAAGAGAATCATTCCATTTTCTCCATCATTTCCCCCATGATGAACAACAGCTACAGAAATGTAAATACAATATGAAGCGGCCATTGTGGAAATTGAGTTCAGCTAGCAAAATTTGCGAAGTAAGTACTCAATATTTGAATTTTTCGATTGGATATGATGCATACTCGAAGGAATAATATCATTTCTGGTTTCAATTTTAACATAATAGGTGCACTTCAAAAGTGAAGATTTAATAATGGTACATACCATTAAATTGAAAGAAAATGTGGAGCTTTCAATCTATCATCAGAAAGATTACCGAAGACATCCTTTATCGAATTCTGAAAAATTGGTACTAGAAAAAATTCAAATAAGAAGCCAAGATCAAATTAACTGTTTTTTAGGTCATAAACAAGAAGTCATCGATTATTTAGAGAGAAAATATGCAGACATTCAAAATTTATTAAGAGAAAATGAGAAATACAGAAAACAAATCAAAGGAAAGAATGAACAGGTGAAAAATACCTTGAAACAAAAATGCTCTGAAATGAGACTGCCAGTAACGAGAATTCACAGCTATTATAAGGAACTAATTTCGAATCTTGAACTATATCATCAACACTCTTTGCAAGACTGTGAGGAAACTGCGAATGCAAAAATGCAGGCGATTTTGAATCAAATCAAGACACAAATTGATAGTTTCGGTATATATTTCAACCAAAATTATAGTCTACTTCAGTATTTAAAAACGCAAATCCATGAAATCGATGACAAATTAAAAGGTATTCTAAGTAAAGTTGCTCTTTATGTGCAACATATATTTTTCATAATTCTAAATATAATGGTGATAGATGACATGCAGAGAGTGTCGAAAGAAGAAAAATAAAACGAGATATGTTGATGAAACGAAGGCAAGAGAAAGGAAGTTAAAGTGTTGGAATGCAAGATAATTTATTGAGATGTAATGCTGAGAATTGAATCACTGCTGCTATCATTCAGTTGAAATTTGGAGAACAAATTTTATTGCAATGCTCTTATAATTAAGCAAAAACTGTAGGTACCTACCATTATTTGAAATTTCATATTTTGAACTATAATCATTATACTTGTATTTGACGAATTTTCTCATCGATCATGCACTATAAAGTGTGTAATAATTTGATACGAGCGAATATAAGTTTGTTAATTGGTTGAATTGTTCTTCCCATTCATTTATATTTCGCTCAGCAGAACTGCCTACTGAATCCTGACTCTTCTAATGTAAAAATAGTGCATCCTAAAATTAAATAAATTGACTTGACATATACCCTTTGTTAAGTATATCGAGAAATCCTATCAATAAATTAAGTTACAAACAAACTATGACCCCTTTTGGCCAGTGAGATGAGACGCCACTTCTTTATGAAAAGAAAGACAGAGAAAGATATATGGATGTACCGTTCACCGCGGTAGTAGAGGAAAGAAGATCCGAAGTGCATGGAAAAGCATATCTATGTCTTCGTTCAACCAAACCTTCAAAGTCATTTCAAGAATTTGGGGTTATGCCTTCTGTCACTGCTTGTCATAGTGTCCGTACTCTTATTACAGCAAAACTTTCAAATACATACAGGGGCTCTAATAGAGAGTACTCCCGAGCAAGCGTTAGCTCAGTTGACAGTTTATCTGACTACCGGCGGTGACTCTGGTTCAACCCCTGCGAAGCCTAACTTTTTTTTAAAATTTTTTTTCACAAGTAATTTTTCGAAAAATATACTTCTCAGAAGAAAAGATTATTTGGGCGAGTTAGGTTAGTTTGCTTCGTCTAAGTAGTCACATTTTTCAAGCAGAAACGATATTTTCCTTCCTCATGTTTCTCGGCGGTCTTCTATATAAAAATAGGTAACCGCCGGCGGTTGTGTAGATGGAGCCTATTATAAAAGTCATTTAACCAGAAACAAAATTAACAAGTTGAAGGGCATAAAATGAGATTCTCGAGGCAGTCTCCAGGGGCAACAAGTAAAAGCCGAATCAATTGAGCTCTTTTCTATCTTGAACGAGAGAGAGGAAAGTTCCCGCCTCTTCTATCTCTCTCTGCCATGCTACCAACGTGGCCGCATTGAAATATAGAGAGGTCCGATGAATCTTTACTTGTCTATAACATCTACTTTGTGCCGCTGAACTATTTTCCAATTCAGCAGAGTGTCAAATTTAACGATATCAACAAACTATGTCAAAATAAGTATGATGATGATAAATGAAAATTTCATTTTGAAAATTCGAAATGTCAGCAGTCAATGACATTCATGACATGGACATATCACGTCATTATAATATCGAAAATAGTTCAATGGCGCAGACTAGAGGTTAGACAAGGAAAGATTTATCGGACCTCTCTATATTTCAATACGGCCACGTTGGTAGCATTGAAGAGAAAGATGGAAGAGGAGAGAACTTTCCTCTCTCTCGTTCAAGGTAGAAAAGAGCTCAATTCAATACACCGAAGCCTACACGTATCCAACGATATTTTCTCAGGATTCGGGTCTTTCTTGCGGAAACTTCCGCCAATCGCCTTCGCGTGCATAGACGAGGCCCACTGCGTCTCCCAGTGGTCGCACAATTTCCGGCCCAGCTACCTCATGATCTGCCGAGTGCTGCGCGAAAGCCTCGGAGTGAGCACGATCCTCGGACTCACCGCTACCGCCACCAGGGCCACCAGAGCCAGCATAATACAGCACTTGCAGGTAAATCGGTAGATAACCTCTTATGTCTTGATAATGACGGAAATAAGTAGATGATGCGCGTACTCGTCATTTTCACGTATGGAAAATTTGATTATAATCACTCGACCGCTTACTATGAGGGATATTTCATTCACCTTCCCTGTAAAACCTGGTTAGAGTATTTCGGTGAAGGTGGAGAGAGGCAAGTACAGTCGCATTAAAAAAAAGCGTTCAAGTATATTACAGAGAGAAATTAACGTCATCCTATTCTGCATAAAACGGACTATCGGGAATGATTGTTCACCAAATGTTGACAGTAAAGTTGTCATAGGTTCTCGAAAACACAAAGCATTGGCTGAGCCAGTTTTACACAACTAGAACAAGGATCCCTCGTTTCTCCTCTCCTCCCTTTTCAGTACTTGTACGTTTTTAATGAATACGACTGTACGTCATAATGACGTCAACATTAACTATTTTTGAAAACTTATTTCTTTCACTTTGCCCAATAACACAGTTTACGCATTCATCTTTACTCCGATATCCACTCCGTTCATTTTTAATTTGAATGTTGGCCATATAAAAATACAAAGTACAGATGGCAGGTCCAAGATGCACAAGCAAAAACATAGTATAGATAAGATTACAAAAATTGTGAGCTTAATAAGCTAGGTATGATAGCAATTACAACATAATATATAATGATAAAAACAAACATGTATAAATTGCAACACATATGGGATAATAAACATCTACAAACCTCTCTAAGAAATAAATTCTTCAATAGAATAGAAACTGTTTTTTATGAGGAAGTATTTTATCTTTGATTTAAAAATGTAGCTATCCAAGCAACCATTATGAATATCACACATGATACCATTGAACAATCATTGAAGTGGTACAGGCATCTTAATCATGTTTTATCGACCGCCATGGCTGAAATAGTTGTTATCGTTATTTGAATTCTTGACACTTGACAGTGACACGTATGATTTGTGTTGTGACATTTTTATTAGAATTAATAATGTTCAGATTATTCCAAACATTTTTTATACTTCAAAAGTTGCTTTCAGCTGTAATGAAATTTGTAGTTTCAACTATATTTGCTTTTAAGAATGTATCATTTTCGTTGGTTGCATTCGTATCGGTATCTGTGTCTATATTGCATAATATCATTGTCACTATTGACAGTTTCTTCTACCTAGGAAAAATGTCTTTATCGATTCATCATTATTTACCTAGGTTAAAAAAGTGTTACTTCTCATTAAAGGGATTCTCGGATAATGATGGTTTCTTAGGTTAGTGGTGGAAAATAGTTATTTATTATACAAGGGAAAAAAGTTGTAGATTTTAGCTCCAGGTTGTGTGAGCTAAAATCTAATATTTTTCCCGTGTATAATACACTATTTTTTTCTGTGACAGAAGGAAGGACGAATCAATATTGAGAAGATATTATTACATACATTATTTCGAAATCTGAAAATTATCGACGTGAAATTTCAAGTTTCTAACAGTAGGGACACCTGCGTTTTATAGGCATCTTCATCATTCTTTCGAAGTAATCAAATATCTGATGTCACTTCTGTCAGTTCAATTCTGTGATTTGATTTTAAAAAATTGCGAATTCAGTAGTTGTTTAGTAATATACGAAACTGCGAAGTCGAATGGAAGATAAAAGGACTTGCAGTTCTTTCTCGGAGACGGTATTATTGACTCATTTTTCGGAACTATAGCACAACAAAAGCCATTAACAGAGTATATATATGTGATATATATCCGGGAAAAAAGTACTCACTTTTTTCCCACGGGAAAAAAGTAATTTATGAAAAGTGACATTTTATAACCTGCCAACAGAGATGAAATGCCAAACTTTTTTCCCGTCACAGAAAAAACATAATGGGGAAGTTTCCTATATTGAGGTTTTTATCTAACTGTGAAGTTTGTGAAAAATTAATATATACGTATTTTTTCTTTTTTTCGTAAGATGAAATTTCACTTCAGAAAAAAATTAATAAAAGAGGAACTTGGCTCCTCCACCATTCCTATGACGTATTTTATGAAAATCCATATTCACACAGAGTTAAAATACGATTGCCTGTGTCAGTACGACGTTGCCGACATTATCATAATGTCTAGATTTTCGGAAATTGTTCTTTGAATGCATAATAACTATATCATAACAGCAATGGGATATAATAGGTTCTTCAATCCTGCTTTGTCAAGTATTATGAATAATTCCCATAAATCTCTCATTGGCTGAATGAAGTTGATTACTAATAAAGATAAATTGAGATATTTTGCGATAATATCTACAATTTTTCAATATCGTTATATTACAATATGTTATTCATAACTTGTCAGTCATTTTTTTGCTAATGAATTCGTTCCTTAATATAACGGATCTATTTTCTAGGATTGTTGCAGATTATATCTTGCAACAGCGCATAATGGGTGCCGGCTTCATTTTGTTCTGACCGATGGCAGTAAATTAGGAAGGATAGTATCATTGAATGTAGCCGATAGTGATTCATTGATTCAATGACATTTTCGTATAGGATCGAGCTCTATTCGAGATATTTCAATGCATAAATAACAAAACCATATCTTGTCAGAATGAAGCCAACTACCCTCTGCATTCCTGCTCCGAGTGCATTTGTAGTTATGTATGTTTTTGTTTACCAATTTTACTTCTTCTTCTATTTTTTTCATTCGTTTTTTATTCGATATCTATTCGCTAGCTATATTCTTCACCATCAGCTAATTTCAGACTAGATTCAGAATGTACGTCACAGTTTGCCGCCCCGAAAATTAGAAATTGCTTTAATTTGAAAATGAAAACGACTTGGACTTTATCGGTCGCCATTCCGTACAGCGTGGACATAAAACTGGAGAGTTCCGAACTTATTTTATGAAAATTCATCTGAAGGAAACTTCCCCATTGTGTATCATGTTTGTTCAGCTATGTAATAATATGACAAGTTTGTCCACACTCTTCAAAGAGCATAAAATGAGAAGTTCGAGGCACTCTAGGTGTAGCCAATCCAAGGCTATTTAACTCGATAAGGTTCTGGCCTGACGTCACTGTTTCCCCAGTCGTCTTTTGTCGAGCGGCAAAATGAAAATGGCGGAGGTGATGAACAAAACAAACAAATTTAGCATTGTGCAATCGAGTGAATTTTGATGTTTTCCAATATGTTTTTGTATTTACGAGATATAGTCCACATGCAGCAAGTACAGAAGACTGTGAAAACAGAAATCTAGAAAGATATGTTCAGTTCCTCAGTGCTCCTATTGTACAGACACATTACAAAAACATACAGTCAAATTCTTATTGCAATATCACTCCATCAGGTCTGATTTCTGTTGGCATTTAAGGATATGGAGGTTGAGCTACTGATCAAGCAATTTTTGTGAAGAAAATTTTTTGAAATTGATAAGGCCACCATTTCTTAGAAAGAAGAAACAATTAACAAGAGGGTTTCCTGCTGAAAAAATTGAATGATTCCAACTCAATGGTTTTATTTCAGTATCAATTTGGAAAAGATTTTTGTTTGAAATTGAATGAAGAAATAATAAATCAATAAAGAAGTCATTATTATCACAATTCATTCCATTTTATTAATGCAATAAAAGTGCAACATGATGGAAATATCTTACTTATAGGATTAACACAAAATGTTTCATCAAATTATCAAAAATCTCCATGCAAGTTTTGGAGAAAGAAGAATTATACAAGATAATTAGTTTCTTTCAAGTTCATTAGGGACATTTTAGGGACATTATTCCCAACTGAATTTATCCATAATAAGTGTCTCTCTTTCAACTTCATATTTTTCATACCATCTTCTATCAAGAAATGGCATTGCTCCACAAAATGTTCTGAACCATTTTCTTTACCTGAAAATTTGAGAAAATAATTCAAGCTGAATGTTATACACATTATTTAACAAACCTCTATGTAAGGACCTCAGTAAGGACACTATTTCAATTATTTCCATGGTCTTCCATCCTGAAAAATAATTTCATATGAGGAAAATCCTAACCATGGAAAATATTGGGACACAAATTTGTTTGCATGATTTGAAATTCAACATTATTTTCAATGAACAATTCAAAAGAGCTTTGGATTCATATTTGACTCCATGCTCAACTTTATTTGGAAAATCATTTGGAAAAACGAAGTTGATTGCTTTTTTTCTTAAGAGTCCTTCCTCCATGTAAAAATGAAGTAGCAAGTAGTAGCCTGAAAGAATTCAAAATTAATGTAAGTATACAGACTTCATGATGGTATGTTAAAGTTACATAAACTCACCAGTGAACCTGAGTACCATGAAATAATCCCCCTGAGGATAGTCAATAGCCATCTCTCAAATTCATCCCTTTTCTGAAGAAATTCCAAAACAGCTTATTTGCAACATGGTTTCAATGTTCGAAAGTTCAAATTCATGTTCCCATATAATTTGAGAAATTTGCTGTCTAATGTATTTTTTAATAATTTCTTGACAAATATGTTGATGTGGATTTAAAATAAACAGAAAACACTGAAAAAAGAAAGAATATGTAAAAAGAAGTGGAGCAGTTGTGTGCTTCAAAACAAAAAATGAAAGAGACTGATATACCTGTGAAATGAACTTGAATTATATAAAAGGAGAATGATTTTCCCATTGATTTCCATCCTTACTACTTGATCCTGCATGTAGGTACTGTTCGTTTCATTTGTGTTAGGGGATCACTTTCCTTCTTTTAATAAGTGGATGGCAGAACTCTTGAAATGGATTTTTTATCCATCTACTCCCTTTTTTTTTTATTCACCACTTCTGTGTCTGTTATATATGCAGCTTCACATATTCCAAGTCTTCATTCCTGAAATTTCATTTATTTTTCACCTGTGTGTGTGATAGATCAAATGTGCACCTTCCTACCTGTCAATATAAGTCCCTATAAAATGTGTTTACAAAACCGTGACATGCCTGCTTTTCAGGATCATTCACATTGCCACAGCTCATCATTTTCCTTTGGAATTATTTGAATCTCATGTGGAGGATGCCCAATAGCAGATGATTGAAAACACAGACATTTTATATCATTTGTTTGTTCTATATCCACTCTTGACTCCACACATAATAATATTATGATGTAACCAGCCTTGTATAATACACCATATTATTATACAACCTCTCACCCTCTTTCAAAGATATCTTCAGTCTCCTTGTCACCACGTTTTCAACTAAAGTCTAAAATTCGCAAATCTTTCGAATTCAACATTTTTTTCGATCCATTTGACAGTGACAAAACGAAATCTACAATCACACAGCGGGGAAACAGTGACGACACAGATCGTTCCCCCCTCCGCGCACCCCCGCACCATAATGCTATACTATGAGGTAACCTTATATGTAGTAGTTAATAGACCTTGTGGCCAATCCACATTCTCGAACACCAAATCCACTTGCAGATCCCCGACGGCGAAGCAGGCGTCATAAGCGACACGCCGCTGCCCGACAACCTCGCCCTGAGCGTCTCCAAGGACGCCAACAGAGACCACGCCCTCCTCGGGCTGCTCACCTCCGAGCCCTTCTCCGCCTGGCACAGCATCATCGTGTACTGCACTCGCAGGGAGGAGTGCGAGCGAGTGGCCGCCTTCTTGCGCACCACGCTCAAGAGCGAACTGCCCGAGACGAAGAAGCGCAAGCGCATGAGCGGACAGGCGGAACCGTATCATGCCGGCATGGCGGCGAGCAGGCGCAAGAGCGTGCAGAACGCGTTCATGGCTGGAGAGGTGAGGTGGTATTCGCGGGAATCAATGTTACCAGGTGGCGCTCGGTTTCCATCGTTCCATGTCAAAGCCACGTCAAAACTGGGGGAAAACAAACTCAATCCTATCAGTGCCATTAGCTTGTGTACTGATAAGAGTGAAAAGTTTTAAAATTTCTTGACATTAATTGTCAATATTCGATCGAAAACGCCTGTTGTAGATGTTCTTTTGGCAGATATTTTGCTCTATTCAGATGGAAAAGGCCGACCAGTAGTGGAAGCAGAAGCAGTTCTCAGTGCTAATCATGTGATTTTGTGTGAGGCAGAAGACTTCAACAAAAGGCACATTTTTGCACTTTGTCTGGGTATTGTAAACATGTTGTAGCTGTTCTTTTATATGTCAATTGATTTGCTCGTCATAATTAGTTTGAATTATTTGAACTATCTCCAATTCTTTACCCGTTCACTGTTCACTAAACTAATACAAATGTAATAATGTAAAAAAATTAACCAACTCAACCATCATCACTACCAACAGTGCCAACACTTTATGTCATTGACAAGTTTTGACTACAGCTATGCACTTTATCCATAGACAACAGTTTGTTTTCCCCCAGTTTGAAGTTCGTATTATGTAACCTAGATGTCGCCCACTTCGTGAATCTCGCGAATAGTCTAGGGTCCCTTGATGGAAATTGACGTTAAAGTCATCTCAACAGGGTACAGACAGATCATAGCTGCATTCTTTTTTAATGATCTAGAGATTTTAGTTTTGTCTGCTGGCATCCCTGACATTGCTGTCACGTCACATCCATGAGCGCTACAGAAAATCATTCAAACTTTTAATAATAGGTATGTACAGGGTATTTACTCGTTGAGGAAGATCATGGCGAACGAGTATTGTGATTATGATCCGATTCTATATGAAATTGGAAGGTATATCTGGTTTTTTTCCGGGGTTGGAGATGATGATTGTTTCGTCAAACTTGGAAAATTCAAGATGACGGATCCAATATATAGCGAAAGAAATTTCTAATTATGATCTGATTCTATTTAAGGTTGGTATCTGAGGGTTTTCGGTGTCGAACTTTATGATTTTTTGTCAAAATTGGGAAATTCAAGATAGCGGATCCAATATGGCGAACGAATTTTGTAATTATGATTCGATTCCATTCAAAAATTAAAATTAATATCTGCTATAGAGCAGAAAGATGTATATACCAAATGATTGGAAAGAATTCTATTGCTAAAATTCATAAAAAAATTGCAGAATTTTTAAAACTGCCTATATAATGTCATAAATTATACCGGGCATAGTTTCGGAAGAACATCGGCAAGTTTACTTGCAAATTCTGGAGGAGACATTTTTGCTTGGAAGTCTACGAATATGGGTGTGTGCAGCAATCTCTCACAAAATAGCAAAAAATTTCGAACCAAATTGTGGTATAATAATGTATAATAATCTCAGGAAGGAAGGAATGCTCGAAGTTCCTTCCTTCCTGTGAAATATTTTACTCCACTTTGAGCAATATGGACTTCTACCAAAGATTAATGTATAATAAGGTTTTTTATGAAAATATCACGACTGCATTGGCTCTAGATCTTACTTCTAGTGGTATTCAAATGACCACACTGCTCAAGACTGCACTTTTAATATTACTTTATTCAATTATTACTCTACCACAAATTGAAAGTATGTAGGATGCAAGAGTGAAAATAACGTGCCTATAAGTTATACTGTATAGTACCTACTTCTTTGTTACTTTCATCAATAAATTATTTGAAAATGACTTTTTATATAAAGGAGACGGAAAAATCATATGTATAACATGGGGGGAGTATATTCTATTCTTTATTTTCCTGCACATTTTACGTATCACTTCTTATCAGTATACTTTTCGTCCTAGACGAAGTTTTATACAAATTCTTCTCCGAGTTGGATTTCCGAAAATATATTTAGCACACATGACATGAGTACAGTAGTTTAGATACCCACATCGAGGTTTTCACCATTTCTCAATCATAAGGCTCAGCTCATTCGGCTCATAGATAAACTACTGCTCAGCTTGATATCATAATTCATTCAGTCAACCCTGGTATACAGTCTAAGAACAGTACAGCTTTTAGTACACTTTATATGTTCCATATCTCGCAAAGATTATGCTGGAGCAGTAAACTCTAAAACTAGAGGATTGTTCATCTATATCTTGGTATAGTTGAATCAGGAATTCCATATGGAAATTACGTATGATACGCCAATGACCTCAATATAACCTAAAAAACAACAAATAACAAAAATCTAGTGTTTATCCCTAGAATTGAATAAGGATGGAACTATATAACTGTTTCACAAACACTTTAGAGTGAGAGGAGACGAGGATCTGTCCGTACCCTGTTAAGATGACAAATACGTCAGTTTGCATCAAGGTACCCAAGTATAGTCTAGAGTTCCTAAATGTACTTGACACTGCTGATTTTGACGTTTTTTGTATATTGAGGCTATATCCCAAATTCAACTGGTCAGTACTGTCAGTAGATCCACTGAAAATCTGTGTTCCGAAATATAAAATCAAAAATACAGTGCTGTAATTCGGGACACGTTTTCATGGTTTTCATCAGTAGTCAGCAGCAGTTGATCAGCTGGTGAAATTTGTCAGTCTGTAGTTTCTCATTTATCTGGACTAGATATTTAATATTTAATATGGAAGAGCAATCGATTCTTGTAGCCTCCATAGTTTCAACGATTATTGACTATGACGATTCAAGCTCGAGTGATGAAGAATACTTGGACATTTAGTTGCCATTTATTTTTCATGATGCATCAGATTGAGAATTGAAAGATTCATGGAAAACGTAATGATGATGAATTTAGGAGCTATCCCAGCTTTATTTAGTAATTTATTCAGCCAATGCTGCTTCTTATTTTGATACCTCTACTACTTCATACTCCATATTATTCTCAGCTTATTATTTCAATAACAGCTATTTTCTGATATTGAAAATGATATCATTCTACGGAAATAAATGTTACATTCCTTCCCCCTCTGAAATAATGACAGTTGTTTCATTCAAAAAATCATAAGTTTGAGTTGTATCTGCAAAACCATACCATTTTTTAGTGCGCATCTCGTGCGTGTCTCATAAGCGAAAACAGTTTTACCAAAAAGTGGCATAGGACCTCGAAAATCGCAAGGTTCTATTCCCAAAAATAACTGAGATATCGAACAAAAGCATCGAAAACTGGATACACTCCACACGAGTGCCGACTCGGTCTATGAGAATTGTCAAATTTTTTGGACCTAGAGTCCCAATTTTCAGAAATTTCAACGATGTACTATCTTCTCTAGGTTCTAGCTACATAGAGTCACTGATGCTTTCTGAGACAACATTTTTAATTTTGCTTCTGCTCTGATACCAATAATGTGAATATGAAACCCGCAGTCTCGTGTTAAGTTTCAATGGTGGGTTTATTTGGTGTATTTGGGTAGAGAAAGTCAAAACCCATACAATAAAACAACTTTCACTCCATTTTGTTGTTTACTTGAAAATCCGGTGAATTAAGTGAATTATACAGAGTGTTTAGTAAACGTGCGGCATGAATTTGAGAGAATATTCTTTAGATTGAAATGAGAAAGAAAGTTTTTATGAACATATATCCAGCATGGCTTCTCGAAAACATATCTTTATCATTTGATGAACATTTCTGCAAATTGTCGTCGAATTTTGAGCATTTCAGCTATCATCAATGGTTCAGAGTCGTGCTTGGGTTTGTATATTTTTTGTTTGTTTTTTTTTTTCGAAAACGCAGCCGAATACGAAATAAACGTTTAGTAGAGAAAAGTTGTATTTTTCTACGGCTATAACAAAAAATGGCTCTTGTTTTCCTGTGTTCGATACATCAATAAGGTACTTTGTATCAATGACTCCATTGTGTTATTATTTCAAAAAAATCTCATCGCTCATGGAGTGTCAAATTTCAAGAAATGACATCTCTGTCTTATAGATGAGCATTACTTGACACGAAATCAGATTGCTACAAGACGAAGAAATCGAAAATGCCGCTGTTATTTGTTACAGCCGTAGAAAAATTATAGTGTATAACTCCCACGAAATGCTAATTTCCCACTCAAATGATTGCAGCAAACTTCATTGTCGTGGGAAATCACTATCATTCCGTGCTCGTTAAACAAACAATATACTATTTCAGTTGCTCTGTCTAATAAGGAATATAAACATTTCAGAAACATTATCTTACTCTATTTTTTTTTTTTTTTTTTTTTTTTTTTTTTTTTTTTTTTTTTTTTTTTTTTTTTTTTTTTTTTTTTTGTAAAAACCAAACGACTATTAGGAAACTAAAAAATCATTGTAATCTGTCGGAGCGCATTTTTCATCTCTCATTTCGATCCGAGGAATATCCTCGCTCATTTTGGCGCCGGTTTAGTAGTCTCTCGGTATAATTTACCGGTGAATGCACAATTCTAGGTGAGGATCGTGGTGGCCACAGTGGCGTTCGGCATGGGCATCAACAAGGCCGACATCAGGGCTGTGATACACTTCAATATGCCGAGCAGCTTCGAAAGTTACGTTCAGGAGGTGGGGAGGGCGGGAAGAGATGGATTGCCATCGCAGTGTCACGTGTTTCTACATCCGCAGGTAACATATATTTAATATTTGAAGACATAAGTGGATAAAGGTGTCATGTCACATTTTTTCTGAAATCGAGTTTTTCTACTTTTTGAACTCTCCTGGTATAGTTTTATCTTTCATTAAACCCTAAATACAATTTTTCTACTCACATAACTAAAATGGCATTCAGCGTACGGATATGTACCGCTAAATGATCAATTAATCACGGATTGTCGATCTGTGATTTATTCGAAATATTAAACACCCAATTCCAGTTCCACTCTAGCCTTCAAAGAGTGAACATCAAATTATAAGCAGCAGTAGATATTATAGTTCAGTCCAACTGCAATAAGTATGGCTTCTGGAAGTGACGGCAATTATAGCGAAATGGAGATATGTGATGATGGACAGTGGAAAAAAGTAAGACACAAAAGGAGTTTGAAAAGTAAGCAAGAAAGCACCACAAAAAAACCAAAAGCGTTAACTCAAGAGGAAATCAATAACATAATATTAGGCTCAACTTCCCATGCTATAACAGAGCCAAGAAATCAACACACAGATAAAGATCAGACCACAGCAATTAGTGAAACAGCAAAAAACAACAATCCCTTATCTACAGCACTCCAACAAAAAACCATCAATCCCACAAAAAACCAACAACCAACTACTCAACGATATCCACACAAAAACTACAACCATCTATTCCACCTTAATTCAGATACAGGGTGGACCAGAATCGCATTCTGTCAACTATGGGAAAATTTATGCCCAGAAAAGGAAGATGAGATACTGAAAACAAAAACTGGAATACTTCTTAAAACCAATCAAGAAAAAGAAAAAATCATCGAAATTCTACAAAGGATGGTAGCATTCAAGAAAATCAGCAACTATAAAGAAATATCAGCGAATACCAAAACACCAACATCATCCCCCTCTACAAGTTACTCAGTCGTCATTGGAGCAGTGGAATTAGAAATTACAGATAAACAAATCAGTGACCAACTCAATAAAATAGGTCTACAACATCGATTCTGCAAAAGAATAATATCTCAGAAAACAAATCAGCCCTCAACACTAATTAGGGTAATCAGTAGCTCATCAAGTACATTCGAAACTCTGCTGAAAAACGGTCTCTACTACAAATATCGGCACTACCCTGTCTATCCCAGCAAACCTCCCAATCCCATACCACAACCATGCAGCAAGTGCCACTCATTCGAACACTCATCTGAAAAATGTAACACTCCAGTGAAATGTACCAAATGTATGGGTCCACATCATTTCTCCCAATGTACATCCCTCCTACCTCCCAAATGTTCAGCATGTGGTAGTGAAGAACACCAGGCTTGGTCTCATAAATGTCCCAAAAGACCCACAGAACCAGTACCAGGTATACCCAATGTCCAAATAAAAACGTTGAATAAAAAATCACACCAAATGCCATCAGAAAAAAGAAAATCAAGAGTACACAGCCCAGTAACAATCCATGATCTAATCATCAACACATATGTCAACGAACTCAACCATCGGGAAAACCAAAACAGAGAGGAATTAATACAAAAGCTCAGGAAAAGATTTCAAAATGATTTCAACATGGACTCTACAGCGGTATTTTCGGGCAACAGAGTATATATTCTCATTTTTGACTTGGAAAATGAAGAGCAAATATCACCTACTGAACCAATCAACAGCGCTTATAATACCCAGCATGTCAGTACAAAATAAATGTAACCTTCTATACTGCAACATAAACAGCTATTCTTCAAGAAAACTGGTAATCAACAATCTCATAGAAGAGTGTGATATAGATTGCACAATGTTTGTAGAAAGCAAAACAAACACAGAAACAAATACAAAATACAAAAATTGGGACGTAATACAGTTCAATGGCAATAAAATCCATAATAAAGCAAGAGGTGGATCTCTAATCCATTCTCATCCAAGACTACAAATGGGAAAAGCTAATCCACCAGCCATCAATAATCCACTCAACGAATGTTTACATTTCACTATTCCATTTGATGATGACAAACTCCATATATTTCTGGTTTACATCCATCCCAGTGCAAGAATAGAAGAAACAATATTCACCAAGGCAAATTGTTTCAAATACTCCTTAATACTAGGGGACTTTAACATAAATAATCGATATAAAAAAAGGCAGCTTTCTAATTTTCTCAATAATTCCACTTTTCGAAAACAGGAAACAGCCCCAACATTCATTATGCCAAACAATAATGATACAACACCAGACATCATACTATATTCCGAAAATATCGAAGACAATATTGAATCCGCTGTAGAGACCCCTGACCTGGGATCTGACCATCTAGCGTTCATAATTACTTTAGACTTGCAAACAAAACCACACAATTATGAAATCCTCCGCTACAATTTCAGAAAAACTAACATGGAAAAGGTAAACGAAAATATAATCACTTATTTGGAATCACATGAGAATGAGGACATCACTAGAGAACGGATTTCCAGATTTTCCAAAACTCTAACTTCGATAATACTTGAAAATACTCCAAAGGTCAAGCACACTTTCCAGGCATACGAATTACCACCTTACATTATAACCATGATCAAAAGGAAACGACAAATGTATAGAGACTACAAAGTTATCCAAGATCCCAACCTAAAAAAAGAATTGAACAAATATAATAAAAATATACAACAACTTATACAACAATACAAAACCCATAAATGGATGGAAGTTTGCGAATCCATCAATGAAAAGAAAGGAAAAACCTACTGGCAGGACATCAAAAAATTATCCAAGTATAAATCAAAGAATAACATAGGGACAACATTATCAAATAATGGAAGGCAATATGAAACACCCTCAGAGAAAGCAAATATATTTGCACAACATTTTGAAGATGCATTCAAAGAATCTACAAATGGAAATTTTGACAGAAATCATTATGATACTGTAACAGAGTGGTACAACAACTTTTTCAACGCACAAACCATTGATGAAACTCAAACAATTGAGGAAGACGAATATGACGAAATCGTTTATTCAGGAAAGAGCACATCACCTGGATATGACTACGTAACTAAAGATATATTGAGAAAATTGGATAGAAGAGTGCATTTATACATAATAAAAATCTATACATTTTGCATCAACAAACAGTTTGTACCTAGCGAATGGAAAATAGGAACAATAATAACCATACCCAAACCAAACACAGACCACTCTCAAACTGCCAACTATCGACCAATTACGCTTCTGCCGGTCCTTGGTAAAAATTTTGAAAAATTAATCAAGAACAGAATCCAAAATACAGTAGGAAATAGAATCCCAGGATATCAATTTGGATTTAAACAAGCACATTCCACTCTCCACCCACTATGCATAGTTGCAAACAATGTAGAAACCAATAAGCTAAACAGGAGAAAAACTGCAGCAGTATTCCTGGATATCAATAAAGCATTAAATTTGATAGTGTTTGGCACAAAGGTCTTCTATTCAAGTTGCATACTCTGGGCTGTCCGAATTACCTGCTATACATCATCAAAAATTATTTACTTAATCGTAAACTCAAAGTGAAAATTCAGAACAGCTACTCCAACGAATTCTCACCAAAACAAGGTCTTCCGCAAGGTTCGCCATTATCTCCAGTCCTGTACAACATCTACTGCTCAGACATTTATCACCATGCCCATCAAGATCCGGAATACTTTAGTCACACAGCATACATACTACAATTTGCAGATGATACAGCTCTGATAACACATGACAAAACTACAGAACAAGCAGTGGCCAATCTCCCAAATTTAATTAACATAACCAACGACTGGTTTAATAAATGGCGTCTCTTACCCAATCCGAATAAATCCCAATTAATTCTGTTTAATCATCGCCTCAAAAATACTTCGCCAACCATAGTCCTAAACCAACAAACCCTTTATCCAAAAGACAATGTAAAATACCTGGGAATCACTTTTGACACCAACATGAACTTCAACGCACATACCAACTCGAAGAAGAAGAGCATGATATCCAGAGCGAAACACTTCAGCTGCTTGATCTATCAAGGCAGAGGCATCGATTCCAAAACAGCTGAACGAATCTACAAGACCATATGTCGACCCATGATAGAATATGGAAGCATCATATTCCTGAACTGCAAACAACAGGCAATCAATAAATTGAAAGTAGCAGAAACAACAGCTATGAGAAAAATATCTCACCTACGCCATCCCCGTAATTCCCTCCACAACCCCCCGAACCAATTACTATACCAGACCTTGAACATTCCTCCAATAGAAGAAAGAATTCTGGGCCTAGCACAAAGATTCTGCAAGAAAGAAGAGAACTTGGAAATAGTGAGAAGATTCTGTTGCACAAGGGATCCCAACATTCGAAATTCTTATAAATACCCAGAAGAAACCACCCTGGAAAAAATGGAACGCCTTTCCACTGCTAACCACTGAGTTCTCTCATAATTTCTATATACACAATTTGTTTATTTTTTTTTAAGGATCTACTTATTCTAATGTCCTTTTTTTTTTTTTTTTTTGTACATTTGTCATACTTATGATAGCCACATAAAATGATGTATGTATTGTTAATCGAAGCCATGGGTAGAAGGACCTCGGTCAATAACCCTTTGGATCATGTTTGGTTCAATAAAGTACTATTATTATTATTATTATTAAACACGTTTCCATGGCAACACGATTTCTTGAACACATTACCATGTCAACGCAGTTCATTAAACACAGCTTCGGTAATTTGAGACATGTCTGGCCTGTCAATTTCATTAACTGTCAACTGTTATTTTCAAATTTTGTATCAGAATTATTCAAACAATATTCGTTTGTATCAGAATTCTTCATTAAAAATATATGCGAAAAGTAGAAGAAAGTGAAATCGAAGAGAATGTTCTGGTACTTGCATATCTCCAAGAAGTGTGAAAATGAAGCATCCATCTTTGAGAACAATTTATTTATTCTGCGCTAAGCATGACAAGCAAACGTGAAACAAAGGTTAGTAAGCAATGGACTGGACA